CAATCAACAAACCTGTTTTTGTTGCCTCCAACCTCTAAAAATCGTCTGAATGAGAACAGCTAAGCGATGCATTCCTTGTTTACGTCTTTCTTCCAGATCGAACAACTGAGGAACAAAGAGATGTATCGGCATATTTGTAACTAACCAGTAGTGAAATGCACAAAGCTTCACGCAAACTTCCTGCAAGCAAGAAGTCACGCGCGAGTGACACGTGAAAGGACACGCCAGAGACCCGCGAGGCTTTGCCGCTCGCTCGCGCGTTGTCGCGCAGCTCGCTTCACCGCCGCAAATTTCCCTTCCGTTTACGCTCGCCGCCATCTTTAAGACATTAAAAAATTTTTGACCTAGTATTGAGAGTGTTTCTATTAAGAAGGAGGAAGATCGCAATCCACGGTCGAACCCGGACCTTTCGTACCATAATCTTTCTCCCTTAGCATTACACAACCACAAAGACCCGCCAAAATTCCAAACAATTTAAGAACTTTAACTAGCAAACTGTTTTTTTTTTTAACTGATACAGCAATAACAGGTGACACTAGCCCTTTCCATAACTTTAAACGTAAATTCAACTTGGGTTTCAACGTCGTTCTTTCTAAGACTATTCAAAACGTATTATTTGCCTTATTGTACTTAGTCCAGGGAATTTATTACATCTATCATGACTGAAGGCTTGATAACCAATGGTGGCATCGACCGTTAATAGGGACCTTAAGCAGCGACGTTTTTGAGCGACGCACGTCAACCGGAAGTGAGGTATTTTCCCTCTTAACATGCCTTGATGATATAAAATTTGTATTCCTTAGCTTCTTTACTGTTATAGAGGCGATTTGACTGAAAAAAATGCGCGAAACCACCGTCAAAATTTGAAAAAAGGCCACTTCCGGTTGACGTGCGTCGCTCAAAAACGTTGCTGCTTAAGCTCCCTAATAATGGCGACGACCGTTTACGAAAGGGAAATAAGCTTCGCCGCCACTCAAACTGGAGAGCTTTCTCGCCGGCTAACTGAGAAAAGAACAGAATGGTGCTCGGAAGGCAAGGATGGCCGTTTATATACCACAAGGCATCTACGACGTCTGAGACGTACAGAAAATAAGGCACAAGCATGCTAAAAACAGTACGACAACCTGAATAAGAGCAAGTGCCACAGGTCCACCAACTCAAGGCCTGGTCAGTACCTGACGCATGCGCAAAGCCATATCACCCGAGCTGTTTCTGATTAGCATGGGATAGCCGTCAGGCCTATGAACAGACAAAGAAGTGTATCATAGGTCCTTTATTGCCGAGGCGCGTGCAAAGCACTCCTTTAAGCAAAAGCTCCACGCAACACATTTTCAGTTTAAAAACAGTAGGGCAATAGCACACCCAACTCTTCGTTTACGCTTCTTACCGTTCGTGGGTTCCTTATGAAGATCTTGGTTCTTCCGTAGGCGTATGCCGTTGGCTTGATATTCAAACTCTACAAGAAACAATCATGGTGAGATCAACTTATGGCTACAGTAGCTTGGAGAAAGCTACTTGTTCGCCGCCCCTAAAATGCATTACCTTGAACAGCTCTTTAACGCCTTCTTTCGGCATGCCCACCCAGTTGGGCCAGGTTTTTTTGCAGAGCATCTTGTATCTGAAGAACAGAAGCAGAAGGAAGTTTGCCGGCTTAGCTATATGTAGCCTCTCACGTAGACGTTCTTTTGGCTCGTCACGTAATCCGCGTGACGAAGCCCTTACAATGTCTGCGTGGAGGTTAAGCCAGATGGTGAATAATGGCGCGCAATAGATTACATAGTGAGTCCTACGTTTACTGATAAAAGTCACACGTGTCTTGCTTAAGGCGCATAGTCGGAACTCCCGTAAGCGACTTCTTAAAATGCCAACATTTGGTGGTCGCTTTTTACGAGGGATGGTCGCACATGAAGGTTGTAGTACTTGCTCCTAGTCTACCGATAGCCTCAAGTGGGCAATTCATCCAGCCAGCTCCAAGACGGTCATGATTCGATTTCTGGCACATTTTACAGCCAGTCCAGATCAAGCGTACGATTCCATTAATGAATTTATTATTCGAAAGTTTAATCCGTTGGTAGTTGTGAATTTCAGATTCATCTCTGTATACCTGCAGGCGCTATAAGCAGTGAATTCACACGCGAGGTAGTTATGAAATTTCTGCCGGCTCAGTTTTCTTGAATGTGATGTAAATGACTCCAAAGCAATTTTGTCCATTCAAAGATTGTTCAATCTGACCGAATACGGGGAAGTTATCGTAAAAATTCACGGCTTATTACGCTTGCAGGAATGCAAATTTGAATTTGATACTGGTTACGGCAACGATTAGCGGATTAATTCTTCAAATAACCGATTCATTAATGGAAGCTATGGCGATGGGGGGCGGGGGGGTGGGTACGTTTGTCCTGGCGTGACTGTAAGTCAAAATGCACGTTACAGGTTCGTCACTCGATCAATCCCACCTCATGATCGAACTAACGACCAGATTTACCACGTTTGGTCTTTGATCGCTGATGATGAAAGACGCACCACTTGGTTCTCCACACCGAATTAAAAGGCATTTGTAGTGATCAAGGCAGACTACTCACCTCTGAAGCGCTAAATCATATTCCTGCCTGAAGGCAAACCCAGCTCTTCTGACCCGAATGTTTTCCATCAACCTTTGAAAGAAAAAAATATACTGATATATAAAGCAAGAATATCGTTCTCTGCACGGTCCACAGTTTTTTTCTATTTAATGTTGGAAGAAGGAGACCACATCTGTACTATATATAAAGATGAAAATTTGTTACAATCCATGTTTTACATATGCACGTGCACAGCTTCAGCAAAAAACCAACTTGCATTCAACAGAACCCTCGATAACTTTCCGGTCATGTTCAGGGGTCTCTGTACCAAAGAAAATAAGGTGAATGAGCATATGTGATGCAGAAAGGAAACGTAAAAACATAAATGCTAATAACTTTTTTTGTATAGCGATATATCACTGCGTCCCACTTGATGAAAAAGTGACGCTACAGACACTGTCTTCACAATTTCTGCTTCATTAGCATACTTCGGAGTAATCGAGGGTAGTATTGAATGCAAATTAGTTTTATGCTAAAGTTGTGCACGTGCATATGAAACTTGAACACAATGCCAGTGAATAATGAGGACGCTCATTTGTAAACACAAATTCTGGGGGGAAAATTGGTGACATTTGAAGCCCCATTTAATTAGCATGTTTATTCGCTTCTTTTATGACCTTAAAAACTTTTTTTCAAAATATTTCCAAAACGATCCCTTAGAATTTGTTAAAACTTTGCCATAATCGAGGCAACTGAGGGAGGAGGTACAAACTCCCTCAAGCCATTTCTGAAAAAAAAATCCTGGTGGCGAGAAATACAAAGGCAAGTAAATATGGTAATGGCGTCATTACGTTGCCTTGGCAACTCCGATGTCAATGAAACATAGATCACAAAAAAAATTTTCATCCATATATAATACAGCTGTGGTCTTTTTTTTTTCCGATACCCTTTGTTAACGCCAACGTGGAAAATTTTCAAACTTTAGAGGTATTCCCCCTAAAAAATCCAGTCTATCCACCTTACAGCCAATAAAAGAAGCAAACAGTCCCATCGTACAATTCCACAAAATTACGTCGTCGTCGTCCTCCTCCTCCTCCTTCTTCTTCTTCTTATTATTATTATTATTATCATTACTATTATTATTATCATTATCATTACTATTACCTCAAAATGGTTAATTCCTTACCCAAGATATCGGACCTGGTGTCTGACCAGTTTGTCATCAAACAGCCCTGCTACTTTTTTGTCGTTTGGCTGCAAAAAGAAGACAGCTAAATTAACACAGATTGCCATCACTTTTGCCTTTTTTCAAGTTAATTCGCCCAGATCCAGTCTGTCCACAAATAGACTCGTCCAGCGAATTTAGCTTGCCTTCACTAAAGGGCGAAAGAGATGCTACTGTGGACGAATCGACCAATAACCTCCTGTACTAAATAGTCATGGCCTCTCCACTAGATTTAAGCTTGTATCAGTACTGAAGGAATAAGTTACGTTGATCTGACAAGCACAGCTGTAATAATCAGACCTTGATGCATCTGATGTAATGTGGGTTCTTGCTTTTGAGATTCTTCATCAGCTCTGACACCGAAACCTGTGTGGGGAACAAACGAAACTGTTAAAACCCTTCAAGGCAGGGTAAAAAGGTAAAGGCGCACACGTGACAAAGGCCCAAACGGCCAGAGTTTACCCCGGTTTCCTTAGCATGAAGCATGCCTAGGGGTATTGCTACTCCACCCTGGACGGGATGCTAGTCCATCGCAGGGTTACCCCCCAGCAGCATGTCGCCGGTACCCATTTATACTCCTGGGTGAAGAGAGACAAAGTGTAGTAAAGTTCCTTATCTGAGGAAACAGAGCGACGGGCGAGGCTTGAACCCTGGACCTCCAGATCAGGAATTCGAGTTCTTAGCCACTCCGCCACACACGCTTCCACAAAAGCCCTTAAATGGCTGCAAATCTTTAGCGTCCTACCTATGTAAAAGTTATTTACATGTCTCCCAAAGCTGACATAAAACTACCAAATATCCTTCTTCTTTCTCTTCGCTTCCATTTCCTGCAACATTTCTGCTGAGGGTCCAGACGATTATTATGAAACCAGGCCCCAGTTGTTCGAAAACTAGACAACGGTCTCCACCCGATTAAGTGGATAATGCAATTGGTTTCCCTAATACTTATCCGCTGGATAGTGATTTATCCTGTGGAGAGCGCTACCCAACGTTTGACCAACCGCGGCCACAATACTCGTCACAAATCCTTGAAACACATACCGGTTCTCTTGAACTTTCTCGAAAATTTCTTACATCCACTCTTCACACCTTTGTTCTCACTCAAATGTGCCCCTCTCCTTCCCCAAAGTTGAGCCACGCGTATTTTGAAGCACTGAGACGACTGCAATACCCAAATCAACATTGGGAAAGGGGAAACGCACACAAGTGTTTCAAGATTTTTAACGAGTATTGCAGGTTTTAGTTGAAGACACACCTTAAACTGAGTTCCCGTTGTAGGAGGTCTCTTTTTTGAGGCTTTGGTGGGACATCCTGAAACAAATGCAACGGTCATTAGGGAGTTCAAGCAAAGACGTTTTTGAGCGACACGCGTAAACCGGACGTAGACCTTTTGCATTCTTAGGCAGTTGTTTTACCCATATTTTCAGGCAATTCTTCTCTATAAAAGAAAAGATACTTAGCAATACAAATTTGGTAGCGTCAAGGTATATTGAAAGGGAAAGATCTCATTCCCGGTCGACGAGAGTTACACAAAAACTACTTTGCTTTAGTACCCTAATAAAGAAGCTTGCGCAGTTTAGTCTTATTCAGCTATTGCGTGAAATGAAAAAAAAATTACCGCTTAAACAGGGAAGGAGCACCTCCATAGCCAGTAAGACACGCATGGACAAAATAAAGGAGTTTTATAAAAAAGACTGAAATTTGGGTTTTGTTTTTTGTACTTGGCGTGAGACACTTTTTTGTCATAACACCGTGATTTTTTTTAGGAATTCAACGAGCGCGCAAACGAGCGTGGAGCACGGAAAAATAGAAGCTCGTTTACCCACCTGGCCCACCCCTTGCGCTAGAGGTCAATGAATTCCTAGCTTGTGTACAGCCACCCCCTACCCTCTAAAAAAAGCGAGCTCAAGCAACGACGACGGCGACGAAAACGTCACTTAAAAGAAGAATTCGCGCTGCCTCAAACTTTATCGCGCTTGTTCCATCTCGCTTAATTCGTCAAATGTTGGCAAATTTCTATGGAGTTGAATTCTATAGAATTGTATCAAAGTTCAGAAAAAGAAGAAGAAAATTGTTGTTTTGTGTTCCCTTCCTCGAAAAAAAGAGAAATTAGGCACTATCACGTTGTAGTCGTGCAACGACGGCTCAGAAATGCACAAAAAAGCGTGATGCACGTACAAAGTTGTTATTTTGCCAATCTAAACCTATTGGGGTTTTGCCGTTCTCGTTGCCGTCGCCGTCGCTTACGCGCCCTAAAAACATCGGAAGAGGGAGCTGGGGCGGCCGTACACAGGCTTTAAATCCCCTGCGGTTTTCTACCCGCGTTTAAGGTTCGTTACGGAGAAAATAGAATGTTAATGAACAGACTATTCTCCGATAATAGTTTTATAGCGAGTAATTGAAAATAGTTAACTTCAGTGATACTGTCCTTCAAATATGTCAAGCCAGATGTCGAAGGTTCTTGATACATATACTTTGATACAGTAGAATCAAGTAGCACAAAACCCTAATCTGACTTACCTTCTGGAAAGAGAGTCTGGGCCAGTGGATGGCCGCAGGCATACATGCACTGCGAAAGATCTCTAAATAGCAAATCATTGTTTTTATCTACAAAACCAGCTGCACAGTAGGTCACCTGGAGAAAATTAAATAAAAGAAAAGCAATGTAATACTGCAAAATTAGCAGGCTAAGGTTGGAATAAAGCAATTCTAGAGAAACTGTGTTCAGCCACCTTAAGTGTGCAAGGCTGCTATCTACACAACGGGCAAGTAAATTACTTGAACTATTCTCTTCTATAATTGCCCCTTACTAGGGAAGACGAGGCAGAACGAGTAACCACAACTCGATAATGGCTCATTTCTTTGAGATTTGGCATCGCACCGCTCTATGATTAGCTGAAAAATATCAAGCTACGTCCTCGACTTATCTGGCGTAACGCTAAAATCAATCTTGACTTGCTCACTCCTGTTTTTCTACGGACTTTGTCGTGTATTACGATTGACTACCGAGAGTAATCAGCCCTTTGCAACTGATCACTCATGTGGCACAAAAAACCATGCGGTGACGCGTAACCTTCTTTCTGGACACACCGGTGTCTTGTTACAGGCTTTAGTGCAAGGAAATGAAGAAAAATGACTTAACCCTGAGTTGCCTAACCAAAATAACTCCCTTCATAAGTTCAGCCTCCGGAACGCGAGAAAAGCACTGAGATAAGACAAACAATATAAATTACCATTTTCACCAACGCAACCGCTTTGCTAGTCTTGACCCAATGCGTTTTTTGCGTGCGAGCATGGTGTTTTTGAATCACGTGACTGACCGGCCTGCAGAAAGGCTATCACTTTGGTTTCGCTAGACTTAATTGAAGAATATTCTTATGGTCTTTAAGATTTCAACATTCCTGTTGATCTACTCGTCTTAGACACTTACACTTCCAGCGTAATGTTTTAATCTGAAGCAGTCGTGAGGCAAGGACATGTCGGATAGAAACTGCTTACTGGCTCTGCTCTCAAAGTGCGCATGCTCAATGCAGTGTTTGTTGAGTTTGGCTATAAATGTCTCATCGCTCACCTAACAAAACACAAACAATGTTACTATATCACAACGCCAATGACCTATAAATCTGAAGCGTCTCTAACTTAAGTATAAGGTATCCACGCCATAAATTGGGGAAATCCAAGCCAGGTGCGCCTCCCTTTGTCTTCCTCTTAATCAAGGATGAGAAAAAGAGGCTCTGCCTGAATCACATTGCCGCAGTCTGGACTAGTCAATCTAGTTCCGATGGTCATAACTGAGCCCGCTGTAGCAAGCGCAGGGGCTTTAGGTACGAAGCTATATATACGTATCTTTATCTTACTCGATTCATGCAGGGTGGTCTTTCTGGAGTACTCTGAAATCGAGCAAGCGAAAGAAAGGTTCTGCTGGCACAGGTGCTGGTGGTGAATTTTGCAAGCTGGTAAATCGGAGGAAATCATTTGTAAATGTTCATATTTGAATATTGAGGGCCGCTCATGAAAATCACTGATTCTTAACCAAACCTCAGTGATGCGCACTCGCTAAACTAAAAGGCTCCAGTCTGGCCCTGGTTCCACGAAGTTTTCTAAGGCAAATCCTTCGCAAAGGGTTTTCCATCGGAGGAATAACAAACGAGTAAAATAGACACTTAGAATTAAAACCAAAAAAATTGATATATATCAAATGAAGAATCAGAATTTTGTTTTATTGGATGCGGAATCCAGCGGAACCTATTATCAAGGAAATTTTACAGCATTTAAAATGTTTACTCACTTCTCCTGGTCTCAAACATTCCTCATCTAGCAGAGCTATGATACCAACATGACTCTAAGGAAAAATAAAAACCTTTTAAGACGAATATCTAAAAATATCACTGCCACGATAAGAATTAGTTCAAGTGCAGTACGAATTAGTTCAAGTGCACAGTACAACTTGTGTGGATTAAAAAACTAACAAGGTTGTCTTGACTCAAAGCTCTGCGCAAACCAAAGTTTCTAGGGAAGAAACAGCTCTAAAACAAAGCATAAAGTTGATCAAACTAAGAAAGATTAGACAACTCGTTAACCTTAAAAATAAAAAAAAATTAGATAAAGTAACACAGTATTGTATTTGTTAGCCTGCGTAGCAAGCATTTCCGTTTGGTTTCGGAGCACAGAAAGACCGAGGAACTAGACTGCTTGCAGTCAGCCTTTTCTCTTGAAATCCGTCTAGTTCTTATCTCATCCAGCGCGATTGCAAACCACGACGTTGTTATTACAATAACGGATTGAGTTATTTTTTCTTCTCGGGCTTACGACCTCATTTCTCGTGGCTCGCAGCTTAATTCGCAACTCACGTGCTTAGGATTCGCGTGCAGTAACCTCGCAAACAAAAATAAGAGACTGCTCGCAGTCTACCGAGGAACGGAATTTTCGGTTTTGGCACTGCGAGAAATGGAACGAGCGGAGAGATACCTTTCTTCCCCACCCCCTCCCCGCTCTTTTTAATACTTGCGCCATTTTTCACGCGGTCTTCGACGCTCGTTCCTCCTTCTTTGCGCTGAAACCGTACGGAAACGCTTGCTACGCAGGCTATGTATTTGTAGGAATTATAGGTGGTGACTACATAAGTAAAGGTGATGCAATGAATTCAACGAGGAATTTTCTGTGGCAAATTAAAGGGGCTTTATTACGAGGATACTGCTGTTTTGGTCCAATTCTTTGCTGAAGTCATTACATAGTACCTTTACCCATGCGCAAAATGCTCCTGTAAGGTTATGAAGAAGATTTGAAACAAATTTTATCAGGGAGCACCTTCCAAAAATTTTTTAGGTGATTTCTGCAGGCATAGCATCACAGGGAGCAGAGGAGTTCAGTTTGAATTAGATAATAAAGAATCTCTTACCTCTTTGATTGCTGTAATCTGTTAATTCTCCGTGTGTTAGTTAGCCGTGTGTGATCATTCTGGGTCGTTTAACCGTTAAAAAATTCCCTTCGATCTTCCCTTTCGCTCAACGTTTCTTTCCGACCGCCATTATTTTGAAACATAACAACCGCTGAATGAAGCGCTCGTGGGCTTTTTCGTTTGCCTTCGGAAGCAAGGCACGAAGTGCGAGAGAGGTAAGATCAATCAAAGAGGTAAGAGATTCTTTATTATCTAATTCAAACTTAACTCCTCTGCTCCCTGTGATAGCATTTTAAAAAATGCATTTCCATCCTTGTCATTCGATACAACATACGACAAAAAACAGTTTCTATACCTACCGTAAATCCTCTATCAATCCCCCCGGGGGGCTTATTTATTTCAAGCCCATTAGAGGGGGTGGCTTAATAGAGACGGGGGGCTTAGTTAAGTTAGAAAAGACCATTGTATCAGTTCTCCATGAAGAACTAGAATACAAAGTGGTGACGTTCAAGAACAAGAAAGTTGAGTGTCAGAATCAAATCTGAACTTCCAGTTAGTTAATAAACTTCCCAGATCAGTCCACACGAAGTTTTACAGTCGTAATTGATTAATACAGTCTCTCATTTATCAGTGAAGAATAATTAAGGGAGAGGAGGGGGGCTTATTAACTTTCTTCCTCTGAAAAGGGCGGGGGCTTATTAGAGAGGGGGATAAAAATAGAGGATTTACGGTAAATATGGTCTTCAACAACAAAACAGGATCATTATTTTTGGAATTCAGTCGATGCTTTTTAAAAACACAGCAAATAGCGTTACATAGCCTCTTGAAATACGGGCTTATTGTTACACAGGTGGCCTCAAGTGCAATACCCACGCCTAGTCGGTGATACCACAGGAAGCCCACTCTGAAGCCACACGCACAATCAAGGGCAAATTTTAGATCTCTCTAAGCATTCATATAGTAGAGAGCTTTGGATTCGGAAGCGAGAACGACTACGAGTACGAGAATTCTGAGTATTGCTCGCGCGTGAACCAGCGTCATCATGATTTTGGCGGGAAAACGTGGTAGCCATCATCATTCTACTATGAGTTTTAGCGTGAATGTCGTAGTGGCGGAAACGAGTTATCGAATGTTAGAAGTTTTATCATTTTGCGATGGAAAGAGGATAAAGATAACAGTGCTAATTTTTCTGGTGAATCAAAAGTACAATGAAGCTTTCTGGAGTATATATTTTTTGGATCATTTTACGTTTCTTGGAAACTACCCACCTACCCCTCCCCTAAGCCAGCATTTTGCCCTAAGTGAGAAGTAAGTGTTAATATTGGCTTAGGGGAGGGGTAGGTAGGCAGTTTCCCAGAAACGTAAAATGATCTTGTTTTTTTTTTTTTTTGAGAAATACGCGATAAAACTTTCCGTCAAATCGCGTACCTGTAGTCGTCCTCATCTTCGAATCTAAAGCTCTCCAATTAGAAGCTTACAACAGAGCCCATAAACGTATCGAACCATTACAAAAGCTCGATCAAACAGAGTGTAAAGCCCCGTGCAAACGGACGCAACATTTTTGGGAGTTCTTTGCGTCCGTTTGCACGTAGCTAAAAAGTTTGACCGGTTTCAGACTTTGCGCAACAACTCACAACAACATGAAACAAGGGTGACGCAGGGGAAGCAAGGGATGGCGAAGTAGTGAGAGTACTCGCCTACCAATGTGGCCCGGGTACAAATTCCGGCGTCGACGCCATATGTGGGTTGAGTTTGTTGTTGGTTCTCTCATTTTCTCCGAGAGGTTTTTCTCCGGGTACCCCGGTTTTTCCCTCTCCTCAAAAACCAACACTTCCAAATTCCAACTCGATCTGGAACGCACGGACACGTTTAAACGAGTTCATAAGAGCTCTTAAGTGCTTCGTCGGTAAACAGATTACAAAAAGTTACAAATTACATGCAACAGGGTGTGCGAACGAACGCAAAATGTTGGGACTTGTTGGCCAACGATGTTGCGTCCGTTTGCACGGGGCTAAAGCACATTGGTGAGTACGCGTAAAAATCCCTCACAGCCTTATCAGAGCGAAAAGGATTTCAGAACAGGACAACTGGCCACTACCCACCTTTTCGATCAAGTCACAGATGATAGCATTGTTAAAGTACTCTATGGTCGTCCACTCAATCCCCTGTCAAAGAAATTCAACGTATTTTAGTTCAAACAGTCTGTAATTGGAACAAAACACAGTAAAGCAGATTTTGGACCAGTATAAGTGGAAAATACCAACCTACCTCTCCCCTAATCCAACGTTAACACTAGCCTCTCACTTAAGGCAAAATGTTGAATTAGGGGAGGGGTAGGTTGGTAGTTTGCACGTGAGTGTTCCCACCTCTCTAACATACTCCTCCTGTTCTGACTGAAGAGTCAACTCGATAAAAATCTGTTGCAGCTTCTCGTTGCAGTAGTTGATGATAAACTGTTCAAAACTGTTAGTCTGAAAGGAAACAGATCAATTCTTTTGACTAAACACGTAAAATGCTGTATAATGTAAAACAAGCTCTCAACATTCGTGATTTTGGGATCGCCTAATACCAGGGCAAACACGAGTAACTACAACAATAGGATTCTAGGTCGTGAAAATCGTATAAAACTGAAAACGTCCCAGATTCAGAAGTTAAAACCTGACTTGAAACAAGCAACACCGTCATTTAAACATTTTCAGCATTGTTGTAACCAGGGCAATGATGATTTCCAACTCTATTTTAGGAGAAATTTAAATCTAAAGCTTCGAAAAAACACTTAAATGTAAAGTTTTGCTAAGAAAATGCCGACTCTGCCAAAGTTAAGAATTGCAGAAAAACTTACAGAAAGTAGAATGTTATTTTTCATCACTCTTGGTTCATACCTTAAATATCTCAAATCCATAAATGTCAAGGACACCAATAACTTTTCTTTTACCCCTCTTTTTTACCTGATAAATAGAAACTTAAATATCAGTTAACATGACAAATTTGGTTTATTATCATCTAAAGATAATAACGTATGAAACGTCTTCATGAACATGACCAATATGATTTCAAGATTGTTGATAATGATAAATGTTGGTAATGATGATAATGATAATGATGATGATGATGATGGTTATGACGATGATGATAACGATGATGATGATGATAATAATAATAATAATAATGATGATGATGATGATGATGACGATGATGACGATGATGATGATAATGATAATGACGATGATGGTGACGATAACGATGACGATGATGATAATGATGACGGTGATGATGATGGTGATGATAATGATGACGATGGTAATGGTGACGATGATGATGAAGATGATAGTAGTGATGATGATGATGATGATGATGATGAGGAGGAGGAGGAGGAGGAGGAGGAGGAGGAGGAGGAGGATGAGAATGAGTAAGCAAGTCAGTAATCGGTTTAATAACAGGGTTTCCACATTGTGGCTCTTATGATGGATGATGACAATGATGATAGTTATAGTGTTGTTGAAAGTGGTGATGACGGAGCTAGTAGTAGTGGTGGAGGCGATCCTGTGACAACGATGACGATGATAATGATGATGATGATGATAACCGCAATAAATTCTTGCGTGCTGCATGAGAATTTGACGTTGTGCTAAACTTGAGACAATTGGAAATCCCAAAGCAAAAAATTATCCAAAACTATCACATCGCTTCAATATCTACTCAATTTTGCGCCTTCGTTAGGCAACTTAAAATGTTTCAATGGATACGAAAATCGGGCAATTTATAGTGCACTGATCTATTGCAGCACTGAAAGTTTTTAAAGAAAATCTATCGCCGAATTTTGGTTTAATCGCTGTTTTCGTGAAAGTAGCCTTAGAAATTACAAAAAGAGGTCAGCATTGCGTTTTACCCCGATTCACATGTTTTCGGTTTTTTTTCGAAATCGCGCAAGTCTACTTGCGTTTAGCCGATTGTAGAGTGTATAAGGGTCATTTACAAAACGAAGGAGCGATAAAACCTTTCCGGAAACATCCAAAAATTAGCAAATTTGTCTGCATTAAGTCCAGTCTTCAGTTCTTGTATAATTTATAACCTTTTTTAGAAATTTCAAGATATCTAAAATTTCCTCTCATAGATTTCTGTGAAACCTCGCACGAGGGAAGACAAGCACCCAAAGTATGCGAAGCGAAAAGCATTTCCAAAGTTCAGGTTGATAAGGGCTGTGACGTCATTGCCAAGTGATATTTATTCCGATCGCCCAAATAATAATATCATATTAGTTAAGTTGGTGTTTAATACATGTGTTATAACTGATCAATTTTTTTAAGTATAAGAGATTCAAAGATGGAAGGTGTCGCTACAGAATTATTGTATCGAGCCACCTTAATACTGTCGTTGACTCTTTGGATTAACCAAGAAAACATCCGTCTGTAAGTGGCTTTAGAAAGAGCATCTCGTGCATAGTAAGCCTACGAGAAAAAGATAATCATCAGACTAAACAACAATACTACAATGGATGGAGACTGAATGATCAAATGAATTGTTAGGCCTAGGCCAGACGTCGAACTTTTCGTGAGAAGAACCAAACTTCGTGAGTTAAGTTCATGAAAAGTTCGACCGGGTCTGGCTCAGTTGAGTTCGTCTGAATGAGTTTGGATCGTCCACCACGTTCTATCCGTCTTCTTCAGACGGATATAGAACGTCTGAAGATCGTCTCCGGGACAAACGTCGATCTTCACATGCGACGAACTAAACTAATACATTAAAAATTTCTATGGTAATGTATATTTAGCCTCGTTCGGGGAAACATTTATTAAAATTGCTTTTTGCTCTGATTCAGTTGATTGGTTCGACGCGTCCTAAGTTTGACGTCTGACCCAACAGACTATCTTAAACTTAATTTAGGTCGACCCAAATTAGAGTTTGGTCCGTCTCACTAAACGTTCGACGTTTGGCCTTGGCCTAAGTGGTTCATATTAGGGGCTTTCAATTAGTTTCACATGGAGGTTCGGCAAAATGATGTGTGGGGGGAGTTACAATATATAGGGATACCATGGTCGTAAACTGGTCGTTTCCATTCAAAGTCGTTTCGATACGAACATATTCCTCGTTCTTTAAGCCAGGTACGTGAAACTAACTACATGATTCAGCTTGTATCGAAACGACGTGTACCAAAACGACAGTAAGCCCCTGTAGGGGTAATAGTCGGGTTGCAGTCTGGGGATGGGGAGTGAAATTTCTGTTCGCTGTAGGAAGGGGTCAGCAAATATTTTGTAGACATATCAAGTGATTTAGCCAAAACCCTCTCCCCCACCCCACTGCCCTAATGAAGGAGGTTTACGGTCGTTTTCGCTAACTTCTGAAGTCGTTTCGCGTACGTGTTGGGTCAGTTCGTTAACTGCTTTCGCCTGATCAGTGGCTGAAAGAACGAGGACATATACATGCGAAACGCACTTTTTTGTATCATGGCTGAGAGAACGAAGCATATACATGCGCAGCGCTCGTTTCGCTTCTTAGCGGAACGATATAAGACGTTAGCGAACGGGACTTTAGTGAAACGACTCGTGGGCAAAACAACAGGTCACCACGAAGGAATGTCCCCTTATGATTGCAATGGCAGGAAAGTGCTGGGCACCCACCTGGGCTGCTGTTAGAGGGGTGGTCATCTTTTCATTTCCAGCTTCCACAGTTCTCTTCGTCAGAGCGTTCTGTAGTAAGTGAGCACCACACTGTAACATTTCACAAGTCCAGTCCAAATCTAAAGAGTTAGAGAATTTCAAGTAAAATCACAAAGGAAATGCCCAAAAAAATTGAATATCTGCATCGAAAAAGTCGATGCGAAATGCTGATGGGCGGAGATGACATAAGTGATGTCGTCATTATCCTTGGCACGTGTTTTTCAATGTTTGTTTACATTCGTGCTCGTTTCCGCTTCGCGTTGATTGGCGGAAATCTGACAGCTCAGTCGATGGGGAGCCCCAGGGGAATTGGAGGTGGAATTCAAATTCCAGAGAGAGAGAGACGTAGTTGCAAGCTCTCCTTTCTTTTCCCGCCCGCCGCCAGAGTGCCCCGGAGAGCTTGCTCGCAGGCTAGGCTAGTCCTTGCTACAAGTACATCAAAGACATATTGAGCGTTAAACCTGATGACGTCACAAGTGGTACTAGAATCATGAATCGTCACAGGTTTTTTGGGGGTGTGAATCGGTAAAGTAAATAATTTGAAGACTTCAACTTACATTTTCCATTTGAAAGAGACACAAAGTCGTGCCCAGCACTATGGTCATCGCCTTCATCAAATGTCACATTGCCCAAGTTTAAGATAGCAGACAGAAGAGAATAAATTGAACTTTTCTCATCAGGACGGAAGCCAACCACATCCATCGCTCTCTAATAGAAACAACACAAACAAATCACTGTTGGTTCTATTTTGACATAGCTGTGATGAGATGCTCTCATACCGCTAAGTAAATGGTATAACTTTCTGTTTGCCTGGGTACCGGTAATTGCTCCATGTTTTTTTCTTTTGGCTGTGCTGACACTAAGATTTGTTACAGAAACCCAGTTAATTAGCCACTTTGAGGATGGGCGGGAGACCAGGTCGAGATGGTTTCAAAGTGCATTGTGGGACTGTTTTGGGGGACGCATTTTCAACATGTCTGCTCATTTTCTATTTTGAGCAATTATCGACTTGAATCTGACGTTTGCCGCTCTAAATCTCTCCAATAGCAGCTAAATCTGAAGCAAAAACTACAGACGCTAATTCTGCTTTTCTCTAAACTGAGAAAACAGCCGACATCCATTTTGTCGCGCTACCACTGGTTTCCCCGTGACCAACCAATAAGAAGCACTAACCATATCTAGGTAGTGACACGTACTCAGTATGGAACTTTTGTGCTCCTTCCTCAGTGATGGCGTCACGAAATGTCGACAGGAGGCGGCTGTTTTCTCAGACTACGGACTGTCGATAATGACTATGATATCACAGGCCTGAGGACACTATATTTTGTCCTGACACAATATTTTATAATTGAGTTGCATCTCTGAAAATTAGGTACCATGATCAGGGTAGACTACGAGTAGTCCCCCATTTGTCCTCAGGGATAGTAGAGCGAGAGATTCGCGAGCGCGTGTGAAAATCAACCCACGCGAGAAAAGGCCACTCACCGCGTCTCGCCTTTCTCGCGTGAGGTGATTTTCACGCGCGCTCGCGTTTCGCTTGCTCTACTATCCCCGAGGAGAAATGGGGGACTACTCGTAGTCTATGATCAGGGCGATTTGTTCTGACAAAGAGGTAGCATTGATCCGTTAGCCTTTAAATCTCTTAAATTTACAGACGAAAAAAAAATGTTGCGTCCCCCCCACCTCTCCTTACGACAGAGCTAATAAAGTTTCTTTTAAAACTAGCCCCATCCACTTATGTTAAAGGCATTGACAGTTCACTAAGTGCATTCAGGTGGGAAATATAATGTACACATTTTACAAAGCCCATAATACATACCTCAACAATAAGGAAATCTTTCCTGTCATCAATCGTAGCAACTTTTGTGCATCCACTTTCATTAAGGTAATTGTATGTGTTGCAATCTCTTTCAAGGTGTAGTTTACCTGTTGCAAAGAGAACAAAAGTTTAAACACAGTTTTTGTTTAAATTAATAATAATAGTTCCATTTTCCTCTTAGGGTTGTTTGTCAACGAGAATAAATAAGTCCCCAGTACTTTTGAAGGTGGTGCCACCTGGGCCTCCAGTCCCCAACAGGGTCAACCATGCTAGACTTCAAGTAGTCCCCATTTTTCCTCAGGGATAGTAGAGCGAGCGAAACGGGAGTGCGCGTGAAAATCACCCCACGCGAGAAAAGCGAGACGCAGCAGGATGGCCTTTCCCGCGTGGGGTGATTTTGACGCGCGCTCGCGTTTCACTCGCTCTACTATCCCTGAAGAAAAATGGGGACTACTCATAGTCTAAACCATGCTGGACTTGTAGAGAAACTGACAGAGACTAGCCAAAAATCAGTCTTTGTTCATCCAAGCTGGAGGTTCAGTAGCCTGAGTCAGATCAGGTGTTTCTGGTGGAAAGGGCGAAGAGAGAGGCAAAAAGTGAAGATATCAAAGGGAAAGAAATGTATTTACATTCGGCGGAGCTAAACGTAGTGGCAGGGACAGAGAATGTAAATACTTTCCTATTGGTATGAACGCACGTGAGCCGCTATGGCCTTAATTGACCCTATTGTTGTAAGGTATATAAGGTTTTGACAGTTGTAATGTATTCATCTCAGCTCTCGAACTATCAAATTTTATTTTTATACCTTACTTTATTCATCTATCGATTGATTTTTTACCTTTAACCCCCAGAGGTTGTGCGACCGCATCGGTTGGGGAATACGTTCCCAATTTTTTCCCATTGGGTTTTTTGGGTTTTCGTATCAGGCGGCGCACGTGAATGGTTTAGCCTGAGTGACTTTATTTAGGAATATTTGTTTACCATTCTTTAGTTATGATGTTGAACTTTGTATGTCATTTGGACGGCATTAAACACTCAGGCTCCATAGTTCGAGCTGCACACCCATTCCCGTCTCTTAGTCGTGAATATAAATAGGAAACACTATTCCCACCTCCCACCTCAAATCTCCTCTCTCATAACCCCTAAGCCTGGGAAGGCCTGATCTGACTCAGGCTGAAGGTTGAGTTGAGAAAAAACGTAAAACCATCTTGGTCACAGAAATGTGAGCAACAAATTAATTTAATTTAAACAAATACTTAATTATTCTCTCCTTTTAGCGGGTTTTTCAGGGACAATAAAACAAATAATTCAAAACGAAAATAACAAGGTTATGAATCTCAACTGTTAGTAGGCGAACCAGTTGCCTATTTTACAAACATGGCCCAGGATTTGAACCCGGGACTACAGAGAACAAATCCAGCTAGCGGTCAAGGTGGGATTTAAACTTAGAGCTCTGGACTTGTAATCTGGAGGCCCCAGCCAATCAGGAACGCTGCCTCCTGCTCGGCCAACTGTTTTGGGGCGCGGAGGAAGGACTCGGTCAATTCTGTAACTAAGAAGAAGTCCCCTAGTCCACCCTAGAACTCCTAAAAGGGAAAACGTTTGTTCGTGCTGAGTGCGGGGAAAGAAACCAAGATAATGATGATGATGTGTACCTCTAATGGATGCTCTCCCTTGCAAGTGAACTTGACTGAAGATCAACAGGAGACAACTTAAGCCGTGCAGTACTCAATTTGCCATTTAAATACAGCGGCGTAGCCAGCTTTTCGACTAGTTGTGGGCCTGGATGACTTTCGTTTCCACATATCCTAAAAATTGCACGCATGACTAGTACGCACTGACCCCACCAACGTTCTTTTAGCTCAACCCAACAACGCATAATTTACTACAAGCCTGGAGTGATCAAACCAAAAATTGTTTAGGCCCGGGCCTACAAGTCTATAGGCTGGCCATGCCCCTGAAATGTATCTTCTCATATAGAAGAACAATATGTTTGCCGGAATTAATTGAGTCTCACTGAATACTAAGTGTGGCTTCTTAGACAAAATATTCAGAAACAGCTCACTGGTACAGCTTACCAAGAAGTTCATCTGATCCTCCAGAAAGAAGGTGATAAAAAATGTGAAAATTCCTCTCCCCTTGAGCTTGGTGAACCACACGAGACTAAACGCAATGAAAAGTGTATGGAGAAATTAAGATAAACTATAACATTATTATAACAATAGCATCTTGATAATTATTATTCATTCAAAACATTTTGCCGTTTTTGATTGGCTCCAATCCCACAGCAGTTCTTCCAAGCCAAAATGGTGCTTACCATATTTGAAAGATGCGAGCAATATACCATTGATTTGATGGTACACTTGGTTGGAAACGAGGTTGATCAATGGAATATTTGACTGGAAATGAGGCTACATGGACAATAGACAATCGATCAATAGACTAAAGAGAACCTGTGTTTATATCCTGAAACTGTGCCCCAAAATAGGCCGAAGTTTAAAAGGAAGTCTACAAGGAGGTAAGCTTGTTAAGAACTTAAAAATATTTTGGATGAATAATAAAACAATTATTGAATTCGGCTTTCAAACTTTAATTATGAATTATTACATCCAAAATTCAAAGGAAACTGTTTATTCACGACTCCATTACCTTTTCCAGCAAGTCTGCAACAAAGAAAGTGAAAACTGGTCAGTATTTTACACACTTTTTAAAAAGACAAGGTAGAATGCTAGCTGATTGCACAAACTCTGACCATAAATAAACCCATAAATCTAGCAACTAAAAAAGAAACAAATGCCAACAAGAAGGGAAATTAATTCGGAAGAGTAACAACCTGAGATGTTTAAAATTCTGAAACTGGGCACAGTTTCAAAATGTGGCTATTGTTGCACCAGCGGGGGATTATGAAACAAAAAAATTGGTTTTATCAACTTAAGTCAATACACCACAGTGGTTTTGTTACAAATAGTTATGTTGAGTCCTGGGACTCATCTTCTGCAACATCAAGAGTCCGTGTCCAGAACCAATAAGTCCCAGTTCAAAAAAAAACACTAGGAGTCCTAAATTGGAAATGTTTGGGCCTTTAAGTACCCAGACAGTTAATATGGAGACAGATGCCAAAACTCTCCATTACAGTTTACTGACATTAAAATATAGTCCTTCCATATATTTATATTTATACTCACGCTACCAGCCATGTGGATGAATGGACTTACCTGCTCAAAATAATAAACCCTACGTTTCCGTAGCAACCAATTATTAGCCACTACAGTAGCAACGTACAAAGGACTACAGAGTACCAAGAAAGACAAAGACTGTGCAATGCATTCATTGTTGGTAAATAAAATGAGCTTACATTTTGTGATGACTCCCCCAACAGGATCCCCTTTAAAGTCAAATTCGATATCCATGTATTTGCCCTGAAATTATACAAAGTTGTCTAATAAACTGTCTGAATGAAAGCAGTGCTTCTAACACACAAACAGGATATTACTCTCTACATTTTGATAGTCTAATCTGAATCTGAAGGTACCAAAAGTATACATGAAAAAAGTTCCAAAACACAGTTCCAAATCATGGTGAATAAACAGTATCGTAAAACCTGTACTTACAAAGCGAGAAGAATTATCATTTCTCAGGGTCTTTGCATTGCCAAAGGCTACAAATAAATGAGAGCAAAGAAAACCAATCTATTACCCAGTGGAAATAAAATTGTTCAGGTAACCTTCAATTTTTTTCCGTTATATTAAAGAAGAATTTGTCAGTGCAGCTATCACAGTCGACTCCCACTAACTCGAACCCTCTATATCTCGAACCTCCCACTAACTCGAAGCAATTTTCATTTCTCTTCAGGTCATTTTCTATATAATTTTACCCTCAATAACTCGAACTCCCGATAACTTGAACTTTTTTCTATTTCCCTCGAAGGTTAGAATTATCAGGAGTCGACTGTATTGGTTAAAGACGTCAAAACTTTTTAATTAAAAACAGCCTCATCAGGGGGAGACAATGTATTACAAAGGAAAAGGGGGAACCAGCAGGGTTAGCTTATGCAAGGTAGAAGGGGAGAGGGTAACAGAGCCTTGAGGCATTCCTTGATGCTACCACCCTTTCTGCACTCTCCCTGTCTATTACAGCCACTTTCGATATATTAAATTCAGCATGACAGCAAGTCTTAGACGACACAAACAAAGGAAATAAATAAACCTGTTTGTTCATTTTCATTGTTTTTGTCCCCTAAGACTCGCTTTCATGCTGAATTTTAATGTATCAAAAGTTGCCTATTGTCTTGTTTATCACTCTGCTTTAACCCAGGTTCCACTCTGAAAAACTCTTAGACCACAGTATGCAGAGTTTAGGAGTCATCACTCAAACTTTCAAATCTGTGGGCAAAAATCCTATGGTGTGACCATTCAAATGAAACCTTTTTAGCAGTACTTTCACATGGTACTATTTATTTAGTGTGTAGTTCGAACTTTTGAGTCTGTGGATGAAATCCTAGGGTGTTAACATTCAAGTGAAACCTCTTCAGCAGTACTCTCACATGGTACTATTATTTTATTTAGTGTGCAGTTCTAACTTTTGAGTCTGTGCACGAAATCCTACGGTGTTACCATTCAAATGAAACCCCTTCAGCAGTACTTTCACATAGTGGTATTTATCTAGGATGAAGTTCTAACTTTCGAGTCTATGCACAAAATCCTATGGTGTTACCATTTAAATGAAACCTCTTCAGCAGTACTTTCACATGTTACTTTTCAGTTTTTAGGACTTAACAAAAAAACTGAATGTCTTAAATGAAGTGAATTTAGGTGAAAAGGTTAACCATTTAGAGAGGCCCTGTTGGGGTAAAATTCTGGCAAGAAACATGGCCTCGAAAGAGTGACAGAAACTAGATGAAACGGTGACAGATGACATAAAGATGGTTTGAATACCGACAGGGACATGGCCTACCCCCCCCCCCCCCCACACACACACACACACAACCCTAAGAGGGTCTCTTTAACCCTTTAAGCCCCAGTATCCACATACAAAATAATTCTCAAGACTGATCTCCAAACATTTCTTTTAAGAATAGTTGAGAGAATTTGGTGAAGTTCAAAGCGTTTTTCCTTTGGTAATCAATTTAGTATTTCTCATAACCTTTACTATGTTGTTAGGAGAAAATTGATGTTGGTCACTCTTAGGACCTAAAGGGTTAAAGGAAGACTGTTCTAAGAAACAAATGAACAAAAAAGTACAAAAACAAACACACACCTTCTAGCACAGGATTACACTGAAGCAACTGTTCTTTGACTCTATCAACCTCCCAGCCTTTTCCAGATACTGCTGCAACATACTGCATTACAATCTTTGATGCCTCTACAGTAAGAACAAAATGGGGACAAACAGTTAACTGAAAAAAGACATTCCACTTTAAATTCTGGAAACCTGTAATTTGACTACGTTACTATCAGTGGTACAAAGCCTGGTACCCTCCCCACCCCTTTAATATGAGGAGTCCCCCCGTGCAAAGCAAGGTGAACTCTGAAAGAATTTGAATATTTCATTAACTATAATCGTTGTCATCATCATCATCATCATTAGTCTTTCCAACATTATCATCATTTATCACAAACTATTATAACAACATTTACTTTTTAAACAACAGTACAAACACAGCTAGACACTACCTGTCTTTCCAGCTCCACTTTCACCAGTGATCAGAATACACTGGTCATGATTATAATCTCTCATAGATCGGTAAGCAACATCAGCTATTGCAAATCTATCACAAACAAGATTAATGTAAAAAATAACATCTTTAAAATAATATTACTGACAAAGAAACAGATGCTAAATTTATGCACGGCTCAAACATAGTGCACTTGAAATGCAACAATCTAATCAGACCACAAAAGATAACTGAGGCCTTTCATGGAGTAGAAGTGAGAGGTGACATGGTCCCCAGAATTGGTGACAATTCTCTCAGAAAGCATGGACAATCGTTTAGACTTGACATAGTTTAAACTTTGCATTCCTTTTAACCGCCGCTGTAAATGCACTGTCATTTGAATATGAATAAATCACAAAACCGGAAATTTTCCCGACTTTTTCACAGCCAGAAAATCCTTCTGTACCCTTTTTTGGTCTTACTAAAGTACAAAATGACTGATTTCCCTACCCTTTCATATACTTCAACTAGTAAAATCCTTACCCTTTGATATACCTGAGGCCTGAAAAAGGTACCCATTTCAGGCAGAGCCCCCTGTATAGGCCATTAGAGGGAGTACCTCCCCATCCCACTCTCCCCCAGGTTTTCGATTCATTTGGTAGAATACCTGTAAGTTGTTTCATCCATAATTCAATTCTTAAAAAAATAAAACTATTTTCAATAGCAAAGCACCCTGATCTCTTAACTGTAAAAAGCCTGGCCCCAGTTGTTCAAAAGTTGGATAGCACTATCCACCATATAAATCACTATCCAACAGATAAGTGTTAGAGAAACAAATTGCGCTAACCACGACCACCGGATAGAGTTTAATATCCAATGGATAACATTATCCACCTTTTGAACAACTAGGGCCTGCATCATTAGACCCTTCACAGGGGTGGGATCAAATCATCTGAGACCCATTAGTCACCCGTCCTTACAGCAGAACAATACCCATTTAGCCTACATGCAGGAGTATCCTGATCAGTTAAGGTTTCTAGGAAACTCCCCACCTACTCCTCCACTAAGCCAACATTAATACATAGATTTAGCCAGGGCTAAAAGCGAAGCTCTGGTTAATGATACGTGTAAACAAAAAAAAAATAAATCGTGTAATGCTAAACGCGGATGACAATGAACATGGCTTCAAGACTAATAGATGTAATTAGCAAAAAAAAAAAAACAAATTGCATGTGCAGCACACTTTTTCTTCTAATTAGCAAAAAAAAAAATTTGCAAGTGCTGCACGCTTTTTTGTCTTTCCCTTGTTGTTGTTTTGCACGACTACAACGCTGTTTTGTACAGCTAAAACGTCAAACTTCCTAGTTACACATTATTTTCATGGAGGAATTGTCGTATGTGCTTACCCAATATTTCGTCTCCTGTGTTCATGTTCGCTTTTATTTTTCATTGCTGCTCATTTTCACCTTGCTGGTCGCTAGCATTTCTCATTTTCTCACCGCCACTTTGAATTTCCATGTTTTTCTTCCTAAGAAATTCGTCTCCTTTGTTTTCAATAACTCGCTCTAGCTCTTTCTCTGTTGTCCACGTTAATGTAGACATAAAAAATAACGCCGAAAAAGACACGACTATGTTGTTGTTTGTTCTTCTAAATAAAACCTTGAGTCGCATTTGGGTTGCCATACCTGTTGATTGAGTTATTTTAAATTGGTATGCCTGTGGTGCGGACGGACAGTCACTTGCTCGCTCGGTGTACGGTCACGTGATTACCAAATTTTCTTGGATGGGTAAAACGTCAAACTTCCTAGTTACACATTATTTTCATGGAGGAATTGTCGTATGTGCTTACCCAATATTTCGTCTCCTGTGTTCATGTTCGCTTTTATTTTTCATTGCCGCTCATTTTCACCTTGCTGGTCGCTAGCATTTCTCATTTTCTCACCGCCACTTTGAATTTCCATGTTTTTCTTCCTAAGAAATTCGTCTCCTTTGTTTTCAATAACTCGCTCTAGTTCTTTCTCTGTTGTCCACGTTAATGTAGACATAAAAAATAACGCCGAAAAAGACACGACTATGTTGTTGTTTGTTCTTCTAAATAAAACCTTGAGTCGCATTTGGGTTGCCATACCTGTTGATTGAGTTATTTTAAATTGGTATGCCTGTGGTGCGGACGGACGGTCACTTGCTCGCTCGGTGTACGGTCACGTGATTACCAAATTTTCTTGGATGGGTAGTTTACCACATTTTCTTACTCATGGTGCTCCGCTGCGCGCTTCGCGCGCGAGAGCTCCGCTATCACTTATTACTCCCTTAAGGCAAAATGTGAGCTTATGGGAAGGGTAGGTGGGCAGTTTCCCAGAAACATCAGAGTATCCCAGCCCAACCCAGGACAGGATGTCCCTTGATCATACATGGCCTGCAACCAAACACAAATAAAGGAAGGAAGTTTTCATATTAGCTGTCAAACTTACATGTGAGGGGGTAGTTCATAAATGTTCCTGGATCTGTACTCTGAAATTCTCTCAGGTGTATACAAGTTGAATTTACGATAAGGGTTAATTGACACAACCACATTCCCGATATAGGTCTGCAAGGAAGGAAAGTGAACGTATGAAATAAATTCAGGTGTTAAAAGAATTTGCCTGTAAGGATTTAAATTTTAATTCCACATTTTAAGAATATCCCATTCATTATCAGTCACTACCCTTTGATTCCTTCAATTTTCTTTGAACCTGTTGAATATTATTTTATAGAATATTGAAGCTACATTTCAGCTATATATATATTGAGATTTTTAGCAAGGATTAAAAGTAGGAAGGTAATGTAGCCCATAGGAGCATCAGACACAATTTGGAAGCCAAGGTAAAAAGTTGTCACAAGGTTACACTGTAACTATTCAGTCATGTTTGTCCACTTGAAGTGATGATTTTTGCCATCTTCCAGCATTTTTACATGTACGATACATTTACATCAATTCTGAATTATTTTAAAGACTGTTAACTTACATATATCTCTTTGTTGTTGTACCTATCCCACAGGTTTTCCAACAATGAATCTTCAGTCAGTGGTTCAAGAAGAACCATGTCACTAACACCAACCATGTTGTCCAACATACTTCTTCCACCAGGCCCCACCTGGCCTCCTGGGTCAGCCATGATGCCTAAACAAAGGTGCATGTATATGTAATATCAATCAATACCCTATTTAAATTAAGATCAAATATTTGATTCATTAATAGAAACCATGGGGTTTGTTTGACCTGGCGTGAATTTATGACCCTGAGTGTAGGTCTGGCTAGGAACAGAATCCCCCATCTACTACTTTAAAGTCAGGTACAGTGGACATCCAGTATTAAGCCAACATGAGTCAGCAGTCATTTCCTAGAGCAAGCACCCTTCTCTAACAGATATGTCATTCAAAACTGGGAAAAGGATGCTTATTCAATGGTGCTTATTTTTTTGTTAGCATGAGATAAAAGTAGCTGGCCAAGGATGGCTAACTAGCCAGCTGTTTTGGTTGGCATTTACCAGCCCTTATTGACAGCCCTGTTTTACAGTCAAAAGGTCCCTAACAGGGATTTGAAGCAGGCACCTGCCCAACCTTACAGCAACGTGTAAGTAGCTGGCTGTGACAAATGGTGGGGCCGTTAGCATTTAACGCTGCTTGGCAGCCATTATCATTGCAAACTGTGTAGGACTGGAATGTGAGTAAATTTACCGTGAAGGGCTGGGCCAAAGTGAAAGTTGCATAGCCTGGATGTTCGCTATAATGGGGATTGATTTTATTGAGGTTTTTCTTCATACATGATATTTTACTAATCGTTCATTGCACTGAGGACTTCATCATATGGAGGTGTGTTATATCAAGGTTTCAAATGTACATGTATATAACTTATTATTATTACTTACAGTTAATACCCAAATAGGAAGTTCAAAAGGAATTTAGTTTCTACTGTCAGACTTAAGTTCCTGTCAGCTGATTAGCAACCATCTGTGATGCATTTGTAGAGGTCTGAAAGTAAAACAATAATACAAATGTATACATGAACAACCAAATCCATATCAATATTACAGGTAAAAATTCAATTCAAGTTACAATTTTTTAACCCAGGTTGATTCTCACTTTCCTATGTCTCTGCGCCTTAATTCATAAATACATAATAAAATTATTAGAGTTGAATTAAGGCTATGGAGACAAAGGAGATATAGAATCATTAAGGTGAAAAAATTCTAACTTGAATAAAATTTGGACCTGAAACATCAACATGCCTTCAGCTTGAGATTGTAAAGCAGATGCAAATACTTGGACTTAGCGTAAATACTTGAATAAGTACCAGGGTGCTTACTAAATTTTTCACGCCTCAAATGTGGCACTTATTTAAAGGCGGTGCTTATTTGAGGGTGGTATTTATTTAAAAGTTGGACATGACAAACAATTGTATCTAATTAATTGTACTAATAAAAATTAACTGTTACTGATTATTTTAGGGCCACAGTACTTATTTGTGGGCCGTCCGTGTAAACTTTTTGCTCCCAGGTTTATTCAAGGTCAGTGCTTAATCAGAGGCCCCCACTTATTCAAGCAAATATCGCAAACATACATGTAGAAGAGCAAGAGAATATTGAAGTGCCAAAAATCACCTCCAACTTGTCAGCTTTGGGACAAGACATGTTAGCTAGGTCTTCACATGGAAGGTATTATGCTGTACTCCTGCTTCTTTCATACAATTTTCAATACAGCCCTTTCTGGCCACAATTGGAACAACGTTCGTACAACTTCAGACAAACAAATTTCAAGGACTTTTCAAGGAATTTTAAAGGACAAATTACAATTTTCAAGGAGTAAGATTTATTGAATAAATCAGCATTCTTTAACCCCCTTTGATCACCCCATTGTCTAAAACATGTCATGGAGTCATTTATGATTTTTAATTCTTAAGCAATAATGTTGAACACATTATCTGGTACTACTTTCTGCAACAAGACTTTGCAAAATGACTGGGTGCGACTTGCAATTGCATCTGAGGTACAGTAATAACATTTGCAATAAAGACACAGAAACAAAATATTGTTCTTGCACAAAAATGTTTTTATGTTACCCGTGAATTCTACAGGTTCTTACACTGAGGATGAGCCTAATTTTCCTCGGCAAAATAATCTAATTTTACAGAAAAGGTGTCTGGTGGAGACAAGGTTGTCAATTTCAGCGACTTTTCAAGACCTAATAAAGAAATTGAGGACTTTTCAAGGACCTAAACCAGATTCTAGACAACCAGTATTTAAAATCCAAGACCTTTTCAAGATTGTACTAACCATGTTAGCAAAATAATACATGTAAAAGGCTACTAAAATAGTTAAATAAAAGAACATGGGTGTGTACATCCCTAGTATGAATTTCAAAACCTGTCGTTTCATGTGCAAAGGAGAAGTAACGTTCCTGTAAGAATTTTGCCATTGTTGTTTAACCCTAGATTCACTGCCAGAGTGCTTGATGGAGTTTTGTAAGGTAAGGTGACTCCAACTTTTGTGTCTGCGGACAAAATCCTATAATGTGACCATTCAAATGAAACCTCTCTGCCTGTACTTACACATGGTGCTATTTCTAAATGAAATTTGGAAAGTTGGTCGAAATTTGCTTTTGGCTATAAATTTGGCAGTGAAAGGGTTAAATTGCACCTCTCTTCCTCACTATTGCCATTTCAAGCCATCTTCATGATGTTTGTCACCATTTCGTTTGCCTTATTATGTCAACATTTCAATGCCATGTCACCTGTCAGAATTTCACCCTAACGGTTGATTTCCTCTGTTACGTAATTTTGACGTACGCATGTGTTTAAAATTAAAGTTTGCAAATAAGAGAGCCAACGTATGAAAGATCGCACGTAAAACTTAAAGTAAAAGTTGAACCTTGCTCAACTTCACGTTTAAGCAGAACAAGTCAAACCTGGTCTCTATTTTATTTACGCGAGTAAAATTACGTGCATGTGCATGCATGTAAAAATTACACGACACTGGAAATCCACCCTAACAGGTCCTCAGTAAACATAGCAAATACATGAGTTTGGTAGTTTCTTAGTGTTGCAGATGACTGCAATCACCAAATGACATAATACAAAAGATTCAAAAGACAATGAACAATACCCCACAGCACAAAACATAACAAACCAACCATGATTTCCGCATCACCAGGAAACACCGATGAGTTTCATGTCCTAGCTACCTTTTCAGCTGCTTATAGTTTCTACTGCATTCTCCTTACTTTCATTTCAACTTTGAGAACAGTTCATCAGTGTTAAAGTAGCAATTCAAAATTTGCGTAGCTATTGTGAGCAGTATTAATATTAGCTCTTTCTTCTCAAATGTTACAAAAATGTAAAAAACTACTGATCACCACAGCTGGTAGAAAAGAGGCCCAACATTTTAGTACGAATTCATAAAGTGTATATTAAACAGTGAAAGTTAACTGAACCCACTATGTTTTCCTTGTTTGCAGACACAACATTTTAGAAAAATATTTAAAGAACAAGGACAACCCTGAGTGTAATCTACTTACCGAAAGCCTCCTTCAATAGCTATAAGTCTGAATCCCTAACAAAAACACATAATTCGATGAATGTGCAGTTTGGCACATTCACACAGTTTATTAAAAACCTGGAATTAGCTCAATGATGCTGTGCTCTTTACAATGAAAATGCCAAAGGATTGATAAGTTAATTCCTTGTTTCTATTTATACAAAGACAGGCTGTTAAAAGAGAAAAACTAGATAATGGAGCACCTGCAGAGAGGACCTTGCATAAATCACCTGTATCAATAATTTGCATGCATAATCTATATTATTCTTTTATATCAATGTTTAAAATAATAATATTATTTTAGCTACATTCGTTGCTTGTTTAACCCTGATTTACCTGAAGAATATAAACAAACAAAAAACTTATCATTAAATAACAAATTAAATGGTTCAAATACATTTACATGCTATACGTATGACTGAACCAATTCATCATTTTAGACAGCAAAATAACTTAATGCCTCCCTACAGATAAAATATTAATATAATACAAAAGTGACATACGAGAATGTAATGCTATTCATGATTGTGTTCCAGAACCCTGCTGTTTGCATTTCAAATTTTCCATAAACATTTATTCGCAGGGCAAAAGATCATAGCAAAGTCTTATTTATTTACTGTTTTGTTGGAAACTTTTGACCGATTGTTTGTGTCTGTATATAGGGCTTTTGAAATAGTTGGTCACATGATCAACTTTCTGTAAACACAAAAACCATTTGTTTTGAAAAAATGATGTTAAGGTGGCTCGTACTAGTTTTCTCGCTTGCAGAGTCCATCGCGTGTGCTTATCCCACTCCATTTTTGTACAGGCAAGATACAAAAAACAGATATAGTAGCGTGTGGTCATTTCTGTGAAAGTTTTAATACCTTTGTGCAAGGTTACTTTTGGCCTGTTTCAAATAAAATGCGCATTTCTCTAAAGTCTCTACATAAACTGTAAAATCCTATTTTAACAATACATTTTCAAGACGACAATAATCTCTCCACTCATAACACATAAGTTTCAAAAGGAATACTTGCATGTGCACTACAATCAATCCTGACAGGGATTAAAAGAGCAATGACCCTCTAAGTACCAGAACAACAACAAAAATAATAAACTAGAATACTATCACAATTAACCACACTTTATCTTCTTGGCTACATTTTGTCGTTTGTATCATGTATACACCAAAGCTACTGTGTAGCATCCTTACGAGATCGACAAAGAAAATTGAAAACGTTAAGGCAATATTCTCGACAGTCATAATTTTGTCTTTACCACTTCGCTTTGTCTCTTGATGAGCCCAGAAGGCAATGTTTCAAGTTACCAAATGTTATATTGAAAGGGAAAACCAATGTAAATTGCACGCGTGGTGTAATTTTTTTTCTTCTCTGCAAAGACTAAACTCAATGGATGCCTGGAAGTATACATGCAACAGTCAGACACAGTCAACACAGGGTGTGAGCAACCCATGTTCTTATAGGATTCAGATTTTACAATACGAAAACATGCGTGGTAGTTGTGAATTCTCAAAGTATTTTACAAGAAAACAAGTCCGGTAACCACCTGTTTTTATTGCTTTAATATTTTGTTAGAGTTGAAAGGAAAAGCCAGAAAAAAATTGAAAGATTCCATGGTAGGAAATTTCTACTGAATAAAAATGTCCTTTTTTCCACTTTCGCAAAAAAAACTGCGCCATATAATTTTTTTAAAATTACTGTGTATTTTCTTTTTCTAAAGCCAAAAGTTGTTGTCCAAAAAAAAGTAGGGATCACTGGCTTAGTTTTCTATTTATCAGTGCTGGAAGCTAAAAAGTAGGTCCATACATTGCCATGGTAACTGCTAATGACCAAAAAAAAAGTTGATTTATGTCGTGTAATCTAACTCTAAGTGCTGTTGTGGCTTTGGCTTGCTTTTTTGTTTTGTCCTTTTAAAGTTAAAACTGTCAAAAAAGAGGGAAACTGGTACAAGCCACCTTAACAGGAACTGATGCAGCATATTCAAATTAGGTAACATGCAAATTTTCAGCCGTATATTTCAAAACTAGCGACTGCAACAGCTGTCCAAAATTAGAAGAATTTGTATGGGAAAAACAACACTTGCCACCCAGTCACTCTTGAGTGGTTTTCGATACGAATCCTTGTACATTTTGAAATTTTCAAGCTATCATAAAATCTTTCCCTTTCGCATTAGGGGGTTCAAATTTTCTGTTATGAACAAAAGAAAACTTCAGGTCTATAGTTAGCCTGCGTGCAGAAGAAATTAAACTCCGGTTAACTCCGTCTGCGAAACAGCGCCGAAATCCTTGTTCTGGACTTCCAGCTGTGTACCCAGATTTGAGTACGCGCCACGATTGGCCAGTTAAAAAAGGCCTTTGTTTTGTTTGTCGTGATCGCCAATCAGGTTGAAGGGAAATTCGAAACGCACTTCCGGTAATTCGTTGAGTCCGTTGGGGGTCCAGAACAAGGATCTCTGCGCTGCTTCGCAGACGGTACTAATCAGAGTTTAGTTATCGTCTGCACGCAGGCTAGTCTATAGTGTGTAAGGGAAAGTTTTTATGACAGTTCGAAAATTTCAGGGGAGCCTAATCGCTGGAGCCACCCAAATAGGCCATTAGAGGGAGTAAAACACATATGGTAAAACACTTAAAACACAATCATATGGCTTATCTTGATCATTATCAACATGGGGGCGCCCAAAAATTACCGAAATCATTTTCAGACAAAATATCTCCAGGGCAAGATGTTCACTATACCAACTTCATTTAAATCTTTATGAGTGCTGATAAAATAAAAAAGGAAAAAATAGCTCTCAAGTAAAATAAACTCAATAAAAATTAAATGTAATCCTTAAATGACACTAAAATAAACAAATAAATAAAGGAATTTCTGGAGGAAATAATCCATGCAAAGAAAAAATTCTAGAAATTATCAATTTACAAATAAATTGATTTAGCGGTGACAGCTTATTGAAAAGAACAAACTAACTAATGAAGCGTAGAAAATATTCATACATAATTTCTATAATCAGTCCCAAAACAGATCTGATTATTCAAGAAAAAATTTCGCCGTCAATCGACACCCTAAATCGAGATCCCTGTGGCTAGACTATAAACGACCATTTAATTTTGCGGTGGTTTCATGCAAGACCTTCCATGACAACGCGTCTACTATAATCTTAGAGTAAAATGAGCTTACATAAAATTTTCTGTTCGTTAATCTTGATTTTCTTGCAAGCATATTTATATTTATATAAGCTTAAGCTTAATTTAAACTTTACTTCTAAGTAACCGATGCAATAATTTCCATAGGAAGCATCGAACTTCAATTTCCAACGCCAGTGAAATCATAAGTCGCTTCACGGAGGAAAGTAGTTTCAAGTGTTATTAAACTGCTTACTATATACGTGAGCTTACGGGGTATTTTTAATTGAGTTTTTAGCACTTATAAAACAGGTATCACCGTAAAATTGACAAATGCTCATTAAAAAACGAACGTCTACAATAGTTAAATATATACAAAAAGATAAAGAATGATTATATTAAATGCTGCTGGGAGTAAAACTTACCAAACGGTTGCAGCTTGGTCAAACCAACGAGAGTTTTAACTTGGGTCGTGTTGAGGGTCGCAATATTAAGCAGTCAATTTATCATGAAATATTCAATTTTCAATCCCCAACTTTCGCCTGAAGATCGACTTCATAGTATTCTTACATCACTAAAGCTTGAATTCCAAAAATTAGGAGAATTTGGGCTGTAATTTCCTACGTCTTAATCCAGAGCCACTACCCTTCTAAACCCTTCCCCTGAAAGAAGTTTGTTGACGCGTTCAGGTTGCGCCAGCGCTGTTAGCACAACGCGGAGTCTCCCGTTAGTGCCAGGTCTCCTATGAAAGAAGCAAACGGAAGGCCTGGATGATGTTTTGTTGTCATCGGCTGAATGTTGAATAGGTTCGGTAAATTTATCAAGATTTTTTAGCTTTTCTAACACGAAAAAAATATTAGACGAGGCTCTGAATGCACACCTTTAGAAAGTAGATCCATATTATGCAGAAATATGAAAAACTGGAGAAGATCGGCGAAGGTAATGTCAGCAAACTTTGTGATTTTGTAAATGGCCGGTAATAGAATATCGTTTTACAATTATTCCGCACTGCGCGGGAAATTTTTTGTTTCAACGATCTTTAGGTACATATGGAACCGTTTTCAAAGCTAAACATAAGGAAACGCATGAGATAGTAGCGTTAAAACGAGTGAGACTCGACGAAGATGATGAGGTAAGTATTTTAAAATTGTGCTGTGACACATGTATGTTTCCCTCTTCCCTGTTGTGTGTGATTATAAATAACCTGGCTTACATGTGTGATTAAAACAAGATTGAAGTAGTTTTTGAACCTAGAGAATATTTTTTTTTCTTTCAGCTCTAAGCAGTAAAAGCAAATGTGTTATGAATAAATACTTTCGCTTTCTACACAGACCACTGTGAACTTGATGTTTTCAAGTACTGTTTTCCTTGAAACATTGAGTTATACAAAACGAAATTGTGGAAAGTTTTATAGTCAGACCATACCTACAAGTAACATGTTGATTTAAATAAGACTCCTTCATACACACCACGTGTACTTATCTCTGTTGTTACGTACTCACCGAATATAATCATAGAGTTTTAAACACAGTATTGTTCTGCCATATAGGACAGCTTTTTATACATATGTTACAGTGGCAAAAATATGGATACTGTTGCCGTAGTAATTCAAATCGATAGAACTTGCATATTTCTTCCTTATCTTTGGAAGCATTTTTTGTTTCTTTTCCAGCTTGGAAGAAAAAATAATTATCATTTTCCTGATGTGTGTTCATGTGATGTTCGTTTCAGGGAATTCCTAGCTCTGCTTTGAGAGAAATTTGTATTTTAAAAGAGGTCAAACATAAGAATATTGTGAGGTAAGAAAATAGATAGATAGTATTGTTGCCGCTGGCTTCAAGTGATGCACAGCTGTGATGATCGATGTTTCAGTGAGGGGCTTTATTTGATTTATCATTCAGAACAACTGTAAATATGTATTTTTCACCAAGCGTGAGGTCAAGATGGCTGGATATTGGCCAAGTTCTTTTTTGAGTTTTTTATTGACCAAGACAAAGTTGAGGTCAATAAAAGTGCGAAAAAGAATGAGGCCAATATACAGCTGTATTGTCCAAACATGCTTAGTCAATGAAGGATTTATTATTTTGCCAAAAAGAGAACTTTTTATGGTGGGACCAATGCAGGAAATCCTAAGCAGGCAAGAAACATCCATCTTGCCTTCTCAGGCAGCCAATCAGAGCACAGAATTCACTTCATCTTGCCTGCTTGCTGATTCAGCCATACAATAAAAGGGTTTATTCATTACCTCTCAAATGTTAGTGGACAGTAGTCTGGAAAATGGATTCTCATGCCTCAAAATTCTAAGTACGCAGCTTTACATCTGAGTGCATTATATCAGAGAGTATGGTCCATTTGCCCAATTTAAGAAATTAGTAACGCAAAATGTTTATGTATTTCTCAACTGAAAACTCAAAGCACTGGTCTTTAAACATGAGGCTTGACATTTGTAATTTCAAGAATTGAGCCTTGAGCCTTTAGAATCCAAATACAAGTGTCTGTTGTCTTACATTTGAGTAAGTGGTAATGTATTACACCAATTCTGTAACAGGAAGCACTGCTGAGTTATTAATTTTCTCCAGCTGTTTCACATAATACATTGTTAAAGGATAAGGCTGCATACATGTCTTAGATTTATGAAAGTATCTTTTATTTACACATATTATAGGTCTACATATTTTTTTTGTGAATAAAACTCCAGAAAAAAATCTGTGTAGGAACAAAAGTTATGGAATTATAGTGTCCTATTTGTTTTTCGCCATGATGTGATTTAATTTATTGAACTGTGGTTGGCCACAGCTGCTTTTATCACCATGAAGTGTTTCTGTAATTTCTTTTTATTAAAAAGATAAAATGATTCATACAGTGAAAAGCAAATCTGTATAAGTTTAGTCAGCTTATATTATGCCTAATGTATACAATGGTGTTATTTTTGTTTATGTAAAAAGAGAAATCAAAGAAAACTACAATGTAACCATGAATTAATATGATGTAAAAAATAATATAAATTTTTTAAACACACCCTGATGTCACCCAGTTTGGATCCAAGTATCCTACAGGGCTTTTATATGAACAATCCATTTTGTCTGATTTAATTTTATATCATGAACAGTTTATACACCTGCAAAAAAAACATCTTGTTGTGTACAGCCATTATTGGTCAAACTTAGTTTGATATATCTGAATCGAAGTGCATGTGTTACTCTTTAAATATGCATGCCTCAATGTGATATCATCAATAAAAGCACCAAACTTATGAGCTCCTCTTGAGAGAGCACAAGTCTTGGCAAATGTGAAAACAATATAAATTTACAATGTAGACTTCAAGTTAAAAGCCCCAAAGGTGACCAACATCAACTTGCTTCCCTACTAACAATACCAAAACAGAATCAAGATTGAAGGTAATGAGAAATAATAAAATAATCAACAAAGGAAAAATTAATGCCTTGATCTTTTGTCAAATTCTCCCCACTGATTATTTCAGTTGTAGCCTGTATACAGAGGCCCCCTCCCAGACTTCTTTTTAAGGGGAAGGGGGTGGGGGTCTGTACACAGGTTAGATCAATAACTATTGGTGATAAAAGTTTCTACCAAAAAAAATGAACTGCTGAAAATGAACTAACTATTAGCCTGCGTAGCTGGCGGTATTGTGTAGTAGTCGAGTGAGATTTGGCGGCGGAGCCATTCTAATATAATCAAGTGAGATTTGACGGTGGAGCCGTCATGAGCGGCAAAGCCGCGAGAAATACCTTCTGCCAGAGAACCATGATTTTTCGAATGCCGCCCACTTTTGTCACCTTAGCTGATAGTCAAAGAGAAACCTGCAATTTGAAACTTCCGATTATTTTCGCGCGAGACAGTTTAGAAATAAGCGTTGACAGGCTAAACACGACTCCTAAGCTCGTGATAATGTGAAACGTAACCTTGTGAGTTTGCTTGAACAGAGGTTTTTTAATTTTCGTGGCTCTCGCGAGAAGGTTACTAGCACTACACAGTGCTTGTATCATTCTAAACTTTGACTGAGTAAATCTTTTTTTGCAACACCAGGCTTAACATTAAAAGGTCATGAAGCTGGTTTGTTACATGCATACTGAGTAACCATTTCCGGTGGTTTATTCTTCTGTAGGTGTTCCTGATAGGATTTGATGTCAGATGCAGTTGTGTAGTGTTTAATTTTCTTTGACCTTTGTTTCTTATGGCTAAATAAAGACAATTCCAGCGCTGTGAAGTTTAAAGACGCCATTTCAGCAATTTGGTCATCAATTTATGCTCTTTTTAAAGCGGAAATCACAATCACTTTACATGTAAGTCTTTTTCAGTTTGCCATCTGCTCCCTAAATTGGGAAATATATGCGAAGGCTCATCTAACATGATTGGCATATGTATGGCCCTCGACCAATCCGTTTCCCCGCACACTGGTGTGCGGACTATTCAAAATACCGGGGTTTTCTGGTAGGGGGTATTTCAACCGTCTCGTCCCTACTCCGTTTTTTTGGAACACGGCTCCGCTGCCAAAACTTTAATCTCGGACCCACACAATACCGCCAGCTACGCAGGCTAACTAACTATAAGTTTTGTTGGTAGATTACATGATGTGATGCATAGCGAGAAAAGGCTGACATTGGTCTTTGAATACTGTGATCAGGTAAGACAGCGTTTGATTGTTTTCTACACACACTCAATCAAAAAATAGCATCATTTGGAAAGTGCATATTTGTGTACAGTACCACTCAAAAGTGAGTTACTTCAACACTCTCATGAGGCAAGAGTCTCATCTTTAAAGACAAAACTCTTGTCTAGCTAGATGGTCGTAAGTGTGGTTTTCTACTGGCTGAGGAACAAAAGGAGCAGAAATGTTCTTCTCACACTCGGCTAGGAGTGTGGATTCATGGATTGTGTCCATGGGTTCTTCAGGTCACATGGTGTTTTAGAGTTCAGTTGTTTTTGTTGTCATCTGCCATTGCCTGACTTGCCTCGCCCACCCGCCCTTCATGTTTTTTTTTTGGGATTTAAAGTACATGTAGTGCCATAGTTGTGGTTGTTCATGTATCTACAGCTGTACATTGTCATCTCAGTTTCTTGTCAGCCATTTATTAGCTCTTTTTGTACTGTAAATCTATTGATTTGTGGTGTTGATATTAGACGTGAGGCTGCATGGTTGGCTTGTTATGACTCTCAGTTGTGTCTGATAAGTACATTTTCTTGTATCAAATGTCAATATTCCAATCAGCATATGACCAATAGGATAGATTCTGTGAGAGAAGAAAAAGCAGATCAAAACTACTGAAAATGTTCTGTTACGAAAATGACCATGACCTAATGGAGTTATGGGTACAAAAGGATAAGCATTGTAAATTCAAAGGCTCTCTAGAAAATTGTACAGTGCAGTTGCCATTCATACATTTGTACTGTACGAGATAACTTTTCATGTTGGCATGAAAAGTTATCCGGTACAGTTTAGCCTTATTTTGGATAAAACTTGATGTGACATTATTTTCAATATCTTGTAGGATCTCAAAAAGTATTTTGACAGTTGCCAGGGAGAAGTGGATGCAGCAGTTGTGAAGGTGCCGTTGTATTCTAAATTACTGTACATGTACAGCCATGTAATTAATATCATTAATGCGGGGCTAAAAAAAAGTCCCATTCAATCATCCAGGGAAAGTAGATTTTCCTGCGAGGCAAGTAACTTTTCATCAGTACTTACTTGTTCAACTATGGGCAAGGACCCAGGCAAATCATCTTCTAGCTAAATCATAAACTAAGATGATGATGCAATATTTTATTCATGTAACATTTACATAAAAAAGAAGCGGCTTTTTCAAACATTTAGCTATAAAAAATTGCATAAAACCTTTTCTTAAAAATATGTAAGAATTTTTTTAAAAAAGATCTTAGGCCTAGCCTTAACACTCAGAGTGACTCCATCAGTGCTAAACTCTTTGTTTAACTTGTAACATATTTTTGTTACTTTTCTATATAATGAACCATTGTTTTTTCTTGTATATTTTATGGAACATTCATGCTGTACTTTTTTCTACTTGATAATGACATCTAAGAATGTCGAAACGTCGTAGATTTTTTAACTTTTTAAAGAAATTCTTGAATGTTTTTGAAAAACTTTTTTACACAATTTTTTTATAGCTAAACATTTACGTTGTAATTACATTACATTGTAAGATGATGCCAAAAATAAAAAACAGAAGCCTAAATTTGGGGGAATTTGGCATGCAAATGACTTACGGTAAACTGCAGCTGACATTGTCAGTGTGCAAGCAGCTATATCATTCATGTATTTAGCAAACCAAGTTAAAATTAATGTCTTCTTTGTTCTCAAGTCATTTATGTTTCAATTACTGAGAGGCCTGGCCTTCTGTCATAGCCGCAATGTTCTTCATCGGGATCTCAAGCCTCAAAATCTTCTCATCAATAAGGTAAAAATATGCCATGAAAGATAATTGTTGATTGCGGATAATGTGTATAAAGGTTTCCTTTCTCACTTTCCTCACTATTGTCACTAATTGATCGCTATGTTTCAACCGCGTACTGCTGGTCTTCATCAGGTGATAGTGTCCATGAGCGAGGTTCATGCCACACCAATCACTAACACCCATGGTGGTACATATAGTCATACTCAGTAAATTGTCACTGTTGCCTGATGAAGAGCAGCAGTATGTGGTTGAAACATTGTGATCAGTATCTACACATATGAAAGTGACAATCATGAGACAAGTGATTAACAAGACCCTTTATAAGGTAAAATATACAGGTGCAGTGAACTCAGAAAAAATGTGAACTGCGCTTCAGACAAATGTTAATGAACCCCATACTGTTAGAACAGTCATACCCTAGTTTTATTAGCGTGTAGCACCTACTGAAATATTATTATTTTAGTTCCCCACTGGGTCTGATGCTTCAGGCATGTTCCATCACAGAGATGCCTTCTGTAGTATGTCTCCAGGGGCCCGTGTTTCGCCATCCTGGTAACTCTTTGGCACTGAAATCAAATTTTCAATTCAAAAATATAAAGAATAAAAGTATGTACAGGTCCTTCCAGTCCATTTTGTTTTATTAACTATAGTTTTATCGATGTATTATTTGCAAAACTATTGAAACCTCAATCTGGAATGCAGAGGAAACAACAACAGCTTTCTGGGCTGGTTAACAATTATTGGGGCTCTCAAGAAACAGGTCCTAGTGCCCATATATATTTATCCATATTTAGGGTTTAAACACTGAAGGGCCCATATTTTCTCAGACCAGTGATTATTACAACTATAGCTGTCTTTACTGGTAGTACAATTTTAATATTATTGGCACTACTTGTGTTCATGCTGCTAAAAAAAAGCTAATGTTTCTCTATCTTTCTGTAGGATGGTGAACTGAAGCTGGCAGATTTTGGTCTTGCGAGAGCATTCGGCATTCCTGTCAGATGCTACTCTGCTGAGGTGAACAAACCTTAACTTGCACTCTAAACTTTTTCATTTTTTCATCCATATATGATTTTAGTGGCGTAGGGAGGGAGGCACTCCCTACAATGACTTATACAAAGGAGGCTCTTTCACAAAAGCGGTACATATACATGAAACTTGTTCAGGCCTTTCAACTGTAGGTATAGTGCAAAAATATAGGTTTCAAGGGTCGAAATATATGAAAGGGCAGGGAAATCTGTCAATAGCAGTCTGTGGAAGGACCTAAAAGGGCTGAACAGATGGTTTATTGTTGTGGGTATGATTTCTTCCTAGAAAAGATCTATTTCTGTAGTTTCTTGGTGTTGCGGATGGTTGCAATCACTAAATGACGTAACACAGAAGATTCAAAGAGCCAACAATGGTTTCCGCAAGACCAAGAAACACCCATTTCGTCTTGATACTGAGGTGTACCTTTTTGTCTTTTTTGTGTGTACTCAGGTGGTGACCCTGTGGTATCGCCCCCCTGATGTCCTCATGGGAGCAAAGTTATATTCAACTTCAATTGACATGTGGTCTGCTGGGTGTATTTTTGCAGGTGAGCTTGGGCCAATGGCTGATGCAGGGAATGGTCTAGAATTTCTCCTCTGCAAACTCATGAATTGACTTTTTTAAGCATGAGCTCTGGAGTAATTTTATCAAAACAAACCGTTCGTAGGCATTTTCACCAAGATTCGGATAGTTAAGAGATATTTAGAATTTTCCGGGAAATTTAGAAGTTTTTAGAGTCTTAAGAGCTTTTTTCCCTGAACTTTGTGTTTTTTTAGAGGGCCAACTTACTTGTTACGACTTTACTTCGTCTCGTGGTTTTTTTTTTTGCCTCGTAGCTGATGGACCCTACACGTAGCCTTTTTTCCATCCCTCAAAGGTCGTTAGAGGACTGTAAAACCGATGGAAGCTTTAGAATTTTTTTTTTGGTTTCATTTACGCATGAGCGGAATTTCAGTGGCGAAGAAAAATGTCTAATTGGTCGATACAAGACCACGTGAAGCTAAACGCAGACACGGTTGGACGACATTGCGCATGAGAACACCATTATTTGTAGGCAGTTATTTGCAGGTCACGTGGTGGGCCCTCAGCCAATGAAAAGAAAGAAAAATTTGCATCGAATGATAAGAAACAATTATTGGATGAGGTTTTTGTGATATCCGGAATAATCAAGGTCGAGGTAAGTGTTATCAGCCGAGCCCAAGGCCGAGGCTGATGACACTTACCGAGACCTTGATTATTCAGGATATCACAAAGACCGAATCTAATAATTGTTTTATTGTACATTGTTTTGAAGAAAATAACGACAAACACACCGTCGAAAGGAACCTGAATTGATATTGTTATTTGAAATCATACATTGCGCGCCTAACCTACAGATTAGACTGCTAGCAGATAACTAACTAATCTGTAGGTTGCACAGATTTCCAAATTTAGCTGTAGGCTCTTAGCCAATGAGAAGACAGATAGTGAGTACAATGTATAATAATAACCGTTAACCGTAGGTAAATGCGTCCACCTAACGCATCCATGTTCAGGTACGGGCAATTCTTGACCTTAGCGATATGTGCATGGGCGGAACTGCTTGGAGGGACAGATAGGTTACTCAAAAACTGGGTGGAGTGATAATGCCACAACTACAGCTGGAAAATTATGGACGCCTTTTATATAACTGCTGGAAAATATGTTCGCCTACTGTAAATGATCTTATAGACGCCGGGGGCGTCTCTGTAATTTTAGGACCCTAAGTGATGGGGGCGTTTAATAGACGGGAGGCTTTTATTCTAATAACTGTAACGAACTCCACAAAGCTAATATGGTTTCGGTGAGCATATCACCACGGTTTATAAACGGCAGATTATCCAGTCCTTCTCTTGCTACGTCTAGGCCGTTTAGAGATATCTATTGTTTTTTAAAGCTCAACTTCCTTGTCAGAATCCTTATAGCCTGCGTAGCAAGCGTTTCCGTTTAGTTTTGGACCATGAAAGAAAGACCGAGGAACGACGAAGATTGGTCGAAGAACGGGATTTTCGGTTTTGGCTGCGCGAAAAATGGAACGAGAGTGAAAGAGAGGGTAGGGGGTGAAAGAGAGGGTAGGGGGAGGGGAAGGAAGGGGTTTGTCAGCAAGCGTTTCCTTCCTTTCTTCCCCAGCCCCTCCCGCTCTTTTACTAGCCCCATTTTTCGAGCTGTCTTTGACTCTCGTTCCGCGTTCTTTGCTGCGAAACCGCACGGACACGCATGCTACGCAGGCTAGAATCCTTACTTTGAACTTGACAATGAACAAGACGTTATGAGCAAACTATTATTAATCAAGCAAGAAAATGAATAAATTGTTTTATTTTGCTCTGTTTTGCCATTTCCTATCATTTTGGAGCAATTGTCATGGGGAACGTCTATCATAGAGGGGGCGTTTGTGAGTGTTCCATCCCAAGGTCTTTAGAGGTCCCTATCTGATGAAAGGCCTAAGCGTTCGCATTTTTTTACCGCGCTTGGCACCGGACCTGTTTTCCCGCGTTTTCCAAACGCTGGATCTGATTGGTTAATAGCACCTTGGGCTTCTCCAGTTGGTTCTTGAGTTTTTAAAATTTTATGTTAGCTGTCATTACAAAACTTTCTACCGTTTGTAACATAAATTTACCTCAAGTGGTATCTCTTTCTCTCTCTTCAGAAATGGCGAATGGAGGTAGACCGCTTTTTCCAGGGAGTGATGTCGATGACCAACTTAGACGAATTTTCAAGTATCCTTTCTTAAGCATAGTTCATTGTCCATGAATCGTTTGTGTTGTTTATCATTTTAGTTTCTATGCTGTGCTTGATAAGGGGCTGATCATTTGACTTTTGAGTGGGGGTGTGGGTAATTTCAGAAAAAAATGTGCCGCAGAATGATTTCTAGGGAAAAAATATCTTGAAAGGAAATACCTGGGGAAAAAATATCCCCCCCCCCCCTCAAAAGTCAAATGGTCGACCCCTAAGAAAACGTGATAAGACGAAGTTGTAATTCCAGAGAAACGGCAGCTAAGAATTGTTTGTTAAAAAGTGATTAGCATTTTTTTCCTCTTGACTAGTCGTTATCAAAGTCCTTCAAAGTTTATACTCGTAATTTTTAGCGTCAAAGGCGTGAATTTTTTTTCGTGACATTACCAGGATTTTTGCTAGATGATCCGTTCATATCCGAAGACGTCCGAGGATCTCCGAAGACGTGACGAAGGTGTTAACTTTTGTCCTCAATGCTTTTCCTTCTAAAATGAGAGATTACTTCAATAGTATACGATCATTCACACACACTTTCCTTTTCTCACATTGGTTCGAGTTTATGTTATTTTGCATCTTTTTCGAAAATTTCTCAGTTAAGACTGTGATAACATTTCTCTGACGTCATTTCTGGGAATCCAACATGCAAATCCCGTTAGTACGGACACCTAGGGGTCATGTTATTTAAGTCAAAAATACAAGTTTTCTTTGAACAAAATAATACTAAAGAAACAAAACAAGACAATTACTAGCATCGTCGAATTAAACATTAAACCTTCACAAATCCGTCACCACGTGGACTAAGCCCATGAAAACACCCAACATCGTTCATTTTCAATATACATTATTTTATCGAAAACTCATAACTCGCTTGATGCTAAAATAGTTTGAAATTGACATCTACGATTCATCCTATTCGTTGTAATTCAGCGCTGGAAATATCGACATGTTGTCAACTGAAGTTTCTTTTACCTTTGAAAGGAAAGGTTTATTACAGCACACGGTTGACAATGAAGTGTCCGCATTAGCGAGGTTGATTTTCTACGAGAATCTCTTGATTGGATAGGAAACAAGTGTCCTTTGTCCGCATTAACGGGTGTTCGTATTATAAGGGTTGAATTAAGAGAAAATGTAGGGGCTTTTCCAGAGACAACGAACATTGTCCGTAACAATAAGGTGTCCGTGTAAAGCAGCTTCTATTTGCGCCGTCGTATTTAAATTTTTAGCTTAAAAACATAAATTGTGATCGGGCAAAGGCGCGGCTATTAACGCATGCTGCAAATAAATCCACGCGGCCCTTAACCCTTTCACTGCCAAATGTGGCCAAAGGCAAATTTCGACCAAATTCCAAATTTCGTTGTCGAAAATTTTGACAAACAAATAGCACCATGTGTAAGTACAGGCAGAGAGGTTTCATTTGAATGGTCACATCATAGGATTTCGTTAGCAGACTCAAAAGTTAGAGTCACCTTACAAAACTCCATCAGGTACTCTGGCAGTGAAGGGGTTAAAACGACATTTACGATTGCGGTTTCACGTTGAGTACAAACCTTTGGATTAAAATAGTTTGCATACTAGCTAAATTGGTTGCCACCATTCTCCTTAGTCTATTAGACGGGGAAGTAGATGAGGATAACTGAAGAAAAGTAAACATCTTTGGTTCATGATAAGCGTATTTGTTATTTCTAAGGTAGGCTTGCCAGCGAGAGCAGGTGACGGGAGAATCAAGACAGGGCGGCTCCCAGGGTAAAGCAAAGCAAATTACATTAACCAAATTTTAGTGCGGACCTATAGAATTATTAAGATTACTACCAACTTGTTGATAATTTGTAGGGTATTTTGCCTGAAATTGAGAGAATTCACAAAACATTGAACTTCTTTCTTCCGACATCGATATTCCTTGCATGCCAAAGTTGATGGCGGTCGTGATGTTTGCGAATGAGAGATTCCAACACAAACAACTGCGGCCACGTAGCCTTGAAATTTGAGCAGCTTCGAGTCTTTCTAAGAGTGAACAGGAGCGGTTAAGGGCACGCGAGAGTTGTGTTATTCGGTAAATGTTATTCATATTCTTTTTTATAAGAATATTGAGGATGATACTCACTAAGGCGGCAGTCTGATTAAAATCATTGTTTTTCGTTTATTTCCGCCCTTTTTCTTAAATATCTCGCCAAGATTTCATTCAATCCAAAAATGACTCAAGATAGTTGGAGTCCTTAGTTCAAACTTTTTATTGAGAATTTTTGGATGAATTTTCGAATGCTTTTAATGTATAAAAATTAGTGAGGGAATGGTTAAAATTTTGGAAAATTGGAAAACACTGGAATTTGGGGTTGTTAAAAATTAGAATATGAAGTGGATAATTAGTAGACAAGAGATGAAATGTCAGATGTACCACCACAACAGCATAACTTGTTTATGCGTATACTGTTTCTACCCTAAATTATTTCCTTCCCAAATCAACATCATCCCCCCCCACACCACCACCACCCAAAAAGCAACTTCCAGACTGCCTCCTTAATGGACATCACATCTAAACGATAAGGCTTGCCGTAATTAGACTGCAGGGATACCTAAACTGATCATATTTTAATATGGCTTGTAGAGCTGGCAATCCAAACTGAAAACATGAAGAGGAAAGAAAGTCAAGGTTGTGGTGTCACTGAGATCATGAAAATCGCTCCACGTTATTCGCCCAATTTTATAACACTTTCTATGACCTTCCACTGTAGTCGAATGTAGGAAAATCCTGAAACGTTTTCTTTCTGCTTTGACGGCGGAAACCGAGACTGATGAATCAAATTAGCGAAATACGCAAATCATCTTACTTATATGATATTGTTTTTGGCATCTACAGTTTAGAATTTTGTTTGGACGGGAGACAAGGTATACGATAACCGCACAATTCCAATGACATGAGATTAACGGAATACGAAAATCATCTCACTTAGACCTGTTTCAAACGTCGTGCTACTGCCGAGCTCAGCTGGCTCTACCGTAGCTCGACTGCAGCACGACACTAGCACGACTTGGTTTCAGACGTGGAATTTAATTCAGTCGAATAGAACGGCTGTTGCCGAAAACAAAACACAATAATAAAGAAACTGTTCAGCAAACTTTTAAATGTATTCTAATGAATTTGTAATTTATGAATTGAGTTCGGCACGGGAGTAGCACGACGTTTGAAACCAAGTCGAGCTACTGCCGTGTAGCACGGCAAGGCTTGCCGTGCTACACGGCAGTAGCACGACTTGGTTTCAAACGTCGCGCTACTGTCGTGCTAAAGTCGAATTTAATTCGATCAACTGAGTTCGGCACGGCAGTAGCACGACGTTTTAAACGGGCCTTAGATGATATTGGTTTTTGGTATCTACAGTTTAGAATCTTGTTTGGACGGGAGACAAGGTATACGATAACCGCACAATTCCAATGACATGAGATTAGCGAAATACGACAATCATCTCACTTAGATAATATTGGTTTTTGGTATTTACTGTTTAGAATCTTGTTTATTTCTTGTCATTTTGTTCGTTTGAACGTTGAGATGTAACTTAGCGTAAAGAATACGTTGAACTTTAAGGAGTTTGTTTACCCAGGGGGGACTTTCATGTGCGGGACCGCGCTCATTGGCAAGCGTGCGAGAAAAAACCTCTGGTACCCAGGGAAGGGTGTTTTATCGCTGTTATTCTGAACTATAACAGAGTGTTAAACTGAACTACTCCAGGATTAAGAAGCTAGATGACGGTACTTTTACTTCTGCTTCTTTCGTTCATTTCGTATTCATCTTGTACAAAGCAATAGTCTTTCAGCAACCCAATCCCAGGCGAAAATTAACAGGCAAAGGTGATTCCTAAGTTTTGGAAATCACATTTTCTCACCAAAGGAATTGAATTTGAAGTAAAGTAAGGCACACAAGTTAACTTAAATGCAATCCTTTTTTGGTTCAAGGTCCCATCCACACCTGTTTGATAAAACGACTAAAACCGATCACCTAATCCTCAACTTTTTGAAAACATTTTTGAACACTGGCTTGTCGTTGTCTTTTTGACGGATAAAAACCGTGACGTCACAGTGTCCCATATCGTGCCAGATACTAAGAATGTTTCACTGTCACTTTAACTTGTCCAATGCCCGTATTTTATGGGACCTCCATTTAGGTTATTTGAAATAAGCCCTCGGAGCGATTATTGGGGGATTTATGATAAGAGAGATATTGTAGGCATCAAAGATGAGCAAATTGATTGAAATAACTGCAGAAGACGGTGTACTCACTGTAATGGCCTATACGAGGAGGCACCGCCGGAAAGGGGTACCTTTTACAGGCTACAGGTATATGAAAGGGTAGAGGTTTCACTTGTTGAAGAATATTAAAGGGGAGGGAAATCTGTCATTTCGGTCTGTACAAAGGCCCAGAAGAGATAAGAGATGCATTTTGACGCTGTGAAAGAGTCGATAAAGCGTTCTGGTGTTGTAATTTATTCATATTGAAAAGACAGTGCATTTACAGCAGTTGAAAGGGATGCAAACTTCTAAACTAGGAATGTGAAAGGGGTTCCATTTGTCAATAGCAGGTACCTTATGATAGGAAATTAACGATGCACGTTGACAACGCGAAGAAAATTTACGTTACACAAAATTAACGCGAATTTTCCAAAAGTTAGGTTTACATACATCAAATTAACGCGAAATTTTCGAAAACAATACAAATCCCCATAAAGATGACCCTGCAGTGGGAGGATGAACGCGCCACGGAAATTCTACGAAAAAAGACGGATAAATACGAAGACCAGTCGACACACATTTGGAACTCAACTTTTAAAGAAGAACTGTCAGATAGTGACTCCGAGGCGTTGATGGAGGAACTATGAACAGACGAGGTTTTGTTATTGAAATAAGGGTGCTGTAAAACAACAATGATGTAAAGTAGTGTGATTTAAATTAACATCGACGTAAATTAAGATGCATTAAATTAACGTCAAAATTGCGTTAATAAAGTGCATCGTTGATTTCCTATAATAAGGTATACGAAAGGGGTAACCTTTTCTGTCAGAAATAGTGTAGATACAGTTTAGGGGCTGGACCTTGGGCGGATCCTCTCCGTAAAATACTTTCTTGAGTTCCTCCCCCGCTCGGGGCCTTCCTTTAAACAGTATATAGATAAGGGTAAGCGGCTGGACCTTGGGGCGGAGCCTCCCCGCGTAAAACGTTCTTGAGTTCCCCCTCCCCCCTTCCTCCCCCTCGGGGCCATCCTTTAGTCAGTATATCAACTTTGCTGCGTTTTCTGACGGTGGGCCTGATATCACCACTCCACGTCTCACTTGTTATTGTTGCCGCGATAGTCTGTTTTCGTTATCACAAAACGGACAAAAATATGTTATGCTTTTTAAAGCTTTTAATCTAAGATGTAAGGATTTTTCCCTTTGGTTTAGCTTCGACATGGATATTTGTCAAAGTTTGGATTTGTCTTTTTAAGTGAATCAAACAATGAAATCGCCGAATTTTGACAACATGCTGTGGATACTCGACCAAACATTCTACTTTTATTATTGCACTGATTATACTCACGGCTAGACATCATTTAGCATTTATGTAACATCCATTGGACAACTTCCGGCTCTGTCATTGCAAATGGTCAACGTTGCCAAAGTTGGGACTGCGTGCGTTTAAGCAATGATTAGTTGTTGACATTTGACATCAATAAAACGCCTTTAATAACAAAACTTTTTTATTGTTAGCCAAAAAACTTAACCGCAAAAAAAACTGACAAAACATTCGTTCAACATGAATTCGCGTTCCAGCACTATCTGGGGTGCAGGGAAGCTTAGCACGCTAAGAAAATGTTGCATAAAATGTTACGACATTTAGCCGCGGGCATAGGGACTTTACACTCCAAGATGTTTTCCTTGCTACGCAAATTAGTATCCACTTTTAACCGGAAAAAGCTTTGAAGAAGGAAATTAGTCCTTGCAGAATTGTCAACCCTTAAAAGGAGTGTAATATTTGGGAGTTTAAGCAACACCGACGGCGACGGCCACGAAAACGTCACTTAAAAAGTGAATTGGCGCTGTTTCAAACTTTATCGCGCTTGTTCTATGTCGTTTGAGTCGTCAAATGTTGGCAAATGTTTTGAAGTTGAATTCTAAAGGACTCTATCAAAGTTCAAGAACAGAAAAAGAAAGTTGCTGTCTTGTATTCCCCCCCTCGACAAAACATGAAATTAGGCACTTTAACGTTGTAGTCGTGCAACGACGGCTAAGAAATGTACAAAAAAGCGTGATGCACGTGCAAAGTTGTTGTTTTGCCAATCTAAACTTATTGCTTTTTTGCCGTTCGCGTTGCCGTCACCGTCGTCGCTGCTTGAGCTCCCTAAAAGCGAACAAATACAGGGGTTAATAGGGATCCTCCCTAAAAAAAAACCGTCGCACCTTGGGAAAGGTACTTGGTGTTAAGCAAGGCTCTTAGCTTATGTATAGAAAAACAAAATTTTATTTTTATTTATTTATTTATTTATTATTATTTGTTTAAATTTGTTATGTTGCTATTATGTGCTTTCTCATGCAAAGTATTCGATTGCACGCGACAACCTTTGCGTGTGTTTTTTTGGCACGATTTCATAGTTGTTAGATCAAAACAACAACAAATTAATGGCTTTCATTTTTGCCAACATGCATATTTCCTATTAAGGTATTTCTAACTGGATTTCCATGTTACACCTCAAAAACTAGCCCTGACACAATCCTTGGAATATGTCTTTTCTACACGTATATTTTTTTTTCTCTGTCGGTCAATTTTTTTTTAAGACGATCACACAAGATCAAGAGAAATCAACCACTTGAGGAAATCTGGCCTTTGTTCAACTTTTCAATCCACTTTACGTTCCAGACCAGCCCAGACAAAGATAATCGACAAAGGTTTTAAAGTACATCACATTTTCTCAATGCTCTCAATGAAAGAGGAGAGTGATTTGGGGGGATCCTAATACAATGGGTTTTGTCTTTCTAAAGTTTTGCTTGCAACGAAGTAATGAACATACATAGGCCACTGTGTCCATAGAGTAACACAATTTAAACGTAATAAAGTCGAACCTCTCAAAACCTGTTTCATACGGGCACTAAACGGACTGGCCCATGTGTTCTGCATGCATCGCAGAGGTGTCCATATTATAGAGGTAGGATTTCGAACCAAGAAAAAAGTATCTTTTGAGTATGAATCTAGTGAACATGTCACGCGCAAAACAGAACATCAAAAAACAAAAAGTGCAAACAATAGATTGAACAAAAACAATGGATAAAAAAGAACAAAAACACAAAGAAAATAAATCACAGGTGCTTAAACACGGTAAACCTCAAAAATTCCAAGCGTCCGTGACTGTACTATGCGCAAGGACGGCTTTGTTTGCGTGTTTAATGCTTCTTTCACGTGCGTACGTACTCAGCGGTTTCTTTTTGATTAATTAGTTCTTAAATAGATACTGTACCACTATTAGTTACGGTCAGCTCTCTCTTAACGGACACCTAGAGTTGGTCCCTGCCTTTCTTTACTCATTTTAGTCGACACTCTGTAAGACGGTCATCTGTCGTAGACGGACACATAATGTCGGTCCCAGAGCTGTCGGTTTTAGAGAGAGTTAACTGTTTTTAATTGTGCGTGATTCCTTGCACGGCGCGCGCCGCGTCTCGAGTATTTTCAGCCCTCGTCGAGGTGGTCTTTTTGCTGATTTCTAAACGGCATTCGGTCTCTCAATTGCAGACACAACGATTAATTGTCTTTGTGTTGAAAATAGCAACTTAGTTTCATTGTAACGAATTAGTGATTGCTCATACTAATTATCAGTTTGCTAAGGAAAGTGAGTTATAAACAAAATGAGTAAACACTTTTTTTGGCGAGTATAGGACGGCTTTGGAAGTCGACAAGTCATTGTGTGAATACATGTTGCCGTATGGTTCAATGTATCAAATCACATTCAAATGCCGCTAACTTTGACAACGCCGAAATAACCTTTAGCAAAATAATGTGTAAAAAAAACTACTATTCTTGATTACAGTTCTATGTTCCCTGGTGCGGTTTCCTTTTATATACATTGCTGTTCTGATCATTGTTCTTGGCGGTAAGGTTGGTGTGTTTCTCAGCTTTTTGGTTTTGTTCAACCGGACAATGTGATAAATATGTACCCTGGTGGGACCTGCTCTTGTCCCCCGTCCTCAGTTTTACATCTCTTTTATCCTTCCCAAATTGCTGCTTTAAGCCATTTTAGAATTATTTTTAGCTCAATAAGAGAGTGCTCGATCAAAGCGCCTCTGTTCAGCTGTCATTTAATTATGCTTTGGTTTGCTCCTTGACCACGCCCTAGAGTTTTAGGTCCACCTTCGGAAGAAACATGGCCCAACGCGTGTAAACTGCCAGATTACAAGGTACAACTTGCTCTGAGAAAACTTTAAATAGCGATCTGCAGTCACTAGTATATCTCGTTCGAAGAAAGTTATCTTTAGCATTTTTAAAAATATCAGTAGCTGCTGTCTTGTCAAAGCCTATTGCTTGACTTTGCGTGTCTAGTTTGAAACAATAAGATTATATCACTGAATGTCTGCCTGGGTAATTTGATTGATAATACCATTAAAAACTATTTTTAACAAAACTGAAACGGTAAGTGCAAAAATAGCATCTTGTGTTTCTTTGGCGTGAGAAATTTTGTCTCTGCCAATTCTTCATTTTCTTTGTTTGTTGGTTGGTTGGTTAATTGGTTGGGGTTTTTTTGTTATTATCTTATTTTCTCACTTCCTCGCCACCGATTCTTGGAAAACAATTTTCCCTTTGAGAATCTGATTTCCCAACAAAGTAATGATATGATCCTATAAAGTTCAATTTTTGTTCTGGGTTTTTAAAAATGTAGCTACTTTTCACGCCTCTTGGATGCCCGGTTAAGGAAAACCCCAGGGAGGTTGACAGGGGGTGTCGATAAAACTCCCAGTATTTGAAACTTCGACCTGCTAGCGTGCAGGTGGTAAGATACAAAGTGATAGTGTTAAAAATATCGATAAATCAGACGAGACTTTGCATAAGAAAAGATCACACTTTCCAGTGGAAAGTATTAACCCATTGAGTCCTTAGAGTTATCTCGTTTTAAGAGAGAACTATACGATTATTTGAGGAAAGATGATATTGATAATCACAGGTGTACATTGTGATTCTTTTAATTTTTTTTAAATTAATATTATGCCAACCTTTTTTTTATATAGATTTTTTTATATTTTATGATGCTTGTATATTACTTGGCTAGACTGGACGTCTTGTTAATACCAGTGTTATTTTTTTTAACACTAAAAGATTTTTCCAGTTTAAATAAAGCATTTATTTATCATTATTAGCAAAGATAGAGCCTCCCGTATAAAGGTTTATGTATTACTCCGGCCATGAGATGTTTTTCTTGTTCCCGACAAGGCCGTCAAGAAACTGTCTCACAGTATTTCTGTACTCGCGTATTTATCCAGTGGAAGGTGTGGTAAACGATCGAAGCCACCTCCTTCTCTGACGGTCTTCTTCTATAGTCGACGAAGTCATGATTCTACAAGAGCCTTGTTTCTTGGCACTAAAGGCTACAGATAATTACAGATACGATTCGATAGATTTTGTGGTTTGCCCTGGGTTCGTTCGTTCCGTAAAGACGTTGCAAACCACTTTTTTATTGTGAAAGATGTTTATTCAGTTAGTGCCCGGGCAGGCGGCTCGGAGGAAAAATCCGCGTACTCTCAATAGGAGTCGAACCTACGACCTTTTGGTTACTAGTCCAGCCATTCTCTTTCACTCAAAGCTACAGGAGACTCGACGGAGCTAAGGCGACTAAACTAGGTTCATGTCACAAACATCCAGCATACTGCTAGGACTGAAATGTCGAAATGTGCGTATGCTCATTGATAGCGAGTCCTCGGATTTTTTTCTTCCGATGTGCTTCCGCCACTGACTGAATAAACATTTTTCTCATTTGTCCACCAGTCTGAAAATTCACCATCACATTCCATCACTTTTTTAATTGAACTTTCAGGATTTTACTCACCTTCCAACTGGCGGAGCTGTGTCGATGGCAGTCGTTGTACCAAAGCTGTCTGCCCCTGGGAGAGACCTTTTACAGGTTCTTATATGTTCTCTTTGTTCTGGCTTGTGTAGATTTTTAAAACGGGGGTTATGTCACGAGGATGTTAATGTTCTTGGCCAATTCTGTGCTGAAGTCATAACTTAGTACCTTTAGTTTACTTATTTACACAAAGCTTCTGTAGAGAAATGAAGACGATATCAATCACATTTCATCATAGGGCACTATCCATAAAATTTTTTGGTGATTTTTTCAGGCATAGCACTAAAACTTGAAAGAGAGTTTAAATCCATGTCCATCCTTGATATCCGTGATATCCACAGACGACACTGAGGAAACAGTTTCAGTGCCGAAATATGGTCTTAAATAACAAAACTCGACCATTAGTTTTGGAATTCACTTAATGCGACGACACGTCGTAGCTTTTTAAAAAGATAGAAAATAGCTTGACATATCATAGTGAGCTGGATCCTTGATTTCGGTGCCGACATAGGGTTGCGTTTGCCTCCTAGTTTGATAAGGGATGCGGATTAGAAAACCACAATAAAGATAACGGTCTTGGCGACACAGTGAGCGAGACACACATTTTAAATCTTCATTAGCCTACGGCCCCGGCTTTGTAGTCAAGATATCTTAATTGGGCACTGAAAAATGTAAGCCAGGGCGCCGTGGTAATACTTCCTCGTTCCGCTGGTGCGATATATTGAAAAAAATTCATTGAATTCGATTCGGCTCATGTGAAGTACGGCATTTAAACCGGGCCTGTGACACTCCACTCCTACTGCCCCAAAGGTGAACTACAAGGTCGATTTTGCAAGCTTTTTAAAACAGCACCACATGAAAATACGTTCAATTTCTGTAGCTTTTATTTCAAAGATCAAACTTAAATTTTCACACACACACTATTAAAATTCAAACTAAATATCCATGTGATCATAAAATGCAAAAATCGGAAAAATGTGCTTGGCGCTGAAGACCACGCCCTAAAACAAACAAGTATCTTCTTAAGAACATGAATATCAGCATTTTGCAAAAAGCTTTGATATCAGTTTTGGGAAATGCTATTAACCATTCCTCTCAGGCTTTTTTTGTTGATATTTCCTCGGTCTTCTTTAGAAGGCGTTGGATCACCTTGCTTATAGTTTCGCCCATTTTATCTTCCTGTCGCCCCAGTTATCCACCCATCGGTCTCCGATGCTGTAATTTGCTTGCAAAATTGAACGGTTCCTAACTGCACTCATTTCATTTTGCCAGAAATTGTTGGTTCTCAACCCCGCTCATAGGATATCAGCCGAAGACGCCATGCGGCATCCCTACTTCTCCGACCTCAGTCCGTCGTTTCGCGCATAAACCGACAAAAACAGACATGAAGACCTTCAGATGCCCCTTAACATTCGCTCTAAGCCACATCCTTCAAGTATAAATCATATTGTAATCATATTTTAGCCAATCTTTATTAATATGTTCATAAATGTACAATAAAATTTTATCTCTGAAAAAAAAGCTTAAATTTTGGTAGTAAAGTATTCCAAACACTTTCAAGAGACCATAAAAGGGTCTTCCTCCCGATTAAGGTATCTTGATTTTATGTTTAAACGAGCCGCCCGCTCTTTCCTATCTCAGTGTAAAATTTGTTTTATTGCTACGAAGTCCAGGGACCCAGAGGTTAAGAACTGCATTGACGTCACGTTGGACTCCAGAAAGAAACTTGCAAAAGTCGCTCAAACTTAATTACGCGCAGTAATTTTCGCTTTTATTTTATGTATACTGGATATTTTCTGTTGTTTCTTGCCTTATTTTTGTTAAGTTTCCGTCGCCAAATAGAACTGCTTTTCTTTAGATAGCCACTCAGCCGTTTTGAAGAGCACGTGCGTTCACTTGATGAATTGCGACATCTAGTTACATCATACACATCGTAGGAGACTAAGTGCTGTCTTTTCACTCCCTTCAGTAGGTTTTTTGGACAGGAACAAGGTCATGTGGTTGGGTCATTTCCCATCTGCGGTGCAGGCAGGCGTTCTGACTCCATAGATGCTATCCTTTTCAATGTTTTTTTTCATTGCCTTGTCCCAGACTGTGTAGTCAATATTCCGCTCTGCTACGGGCCTCTAATTCGGTTGTAACCCGATTAATATAATCCTGGATAAGCTTAATCGTGCTTTTTCGGGAACCGATGCAACATTGTAGCTGTTTTAAACTCTACAACGCCAAACCAAACCCTGAGTTTAAAAAAAATTCTAGTTGTTGGTGCTAAAGTACTAAAAGTGTCATATCATCTGGAAAATTACTGCCAATGCCGCCGCAGTGTCGTTTAATATCATTATGAATGGTAACACTAAACATTTTCGACTCTGAAAAAACTCAAAAGCTGGAATGCCGTCTTATGTCTCCTTAATTTGCTTTAGGGTTAAAGGCCGTAGTTAAAGTAGCCGGCGTGCCATATGTAAATTTTGGATTGTTTTCAACTCAGTCGATTCATATCCTGGCTTTCGGAACAGTTACAGTCGATTTATATCCCAACTCTGGGCAAAGTTGCAGTAAATTGATTCATTTCTCGGCTGTCGGCATCTTACGAAAGGTACAGTGAAGAGCTCTGTTCATGTTATTGCTCGAAGAGTTTTGGTTTATGTTTTACGCTTTAAAAAGTGGAGCTAAAATAGCTCTGCTCTTATATGTAGTAGTGTCCCTTGTGTCAAGACACTTATCTGTTAGTTTGGCTTCTTTTTAATCCACACTCGGTTCCGGCTTAAAATTGTGCTTTTGCCATTTCTTGATACATTTCCTTTGCAATGACTAACTTGCAATATTAACAGACTTTAAATTAATTTTGCCTCAGGGAAACTCTCCCTTCATAGTTTTTGGAGAAAAGTAAGTATTGGTAATACCCTTCGACCTTTCTGCGACAGATTTTTACAGATAAAAGTACGATTTTATATTAACAGAATCACAAGTCTAAGTCGACATCAGCTCTTTCAAAAACGTCCATGATGTCCTAGGTGAGCCACTCTGAATTCCTCGCAATTCTTCCATTTGTTGTGAAACATTGTGGCGCAACTTTGTTCATTTTAGACAATTTTGCCTTTTTTCGTCCGGTCACGTGGCCATGTAGGTCTCTTTTCTTTGCAGATAAAAATAAAACTGCGATGCAGCGGAACTGACCTCGATAACGAAAGGCCAAAGACTGGCAAAATGTGTCTGCTATAACAAGATTTCGTTAGATCGAGGTTCTTTTCCAAATTAATTACTATAAGCGAGGTAAAGAAAATCGTCGCTATGTAGAGTTTCGTTATATCGAGGTTCCACTGTAGTAACTGCTTCTAGAATGTCTAATTTCTTCTGTGACTTCTTGTGTAAAATCCTCTTGTATGCTTAGTGTTATTTCTTGGGGCACGTTGTGGAATCTGGATGGAATCTCAAAGTTTGACACTTTCCCGTGTTACTGAGTCTGCACAAGGTGGTTCTAATTTTTAGATATGTGAAAGAATTCTAAAGTCTCGGTAATAAGTGAAAGATATTAAGCAGTACTTTCCTGTGGTACGTGTTCATTGCTCTGTACAAGCTGGTTCTAATTTTTGAGTCTGTGAATCAATGGAATCCTAAAATGTGACCATTCAAATGAAAGCTACTGAGCAGTACTTTCCTGTGTTCATGTTATTATGCCATGTAAGGTGGTTCTAATTTTTGATGGTGTGAATGGGATTTTAAAGTCAGTTTGAGCAACAAATGAGAGTTTCTGCTTCTAATACTCGTAACGAAACCTCTTCTAGCTGGGTAAACGTTTTGAAAACTCCACAGTGCTTATTAAAAGATCCTTGTCTATCGTCAGCAATGGCACAAAGAATTTACGGCCTCACTAAATTGTATCCACTGTCTTTTTTACCTCTTTTGTGTGTTTTTTTTATTCCCACAGGCTTTATCCAATTCTAGGAATATTGTGTGTCTGTAAAATGTCTCGGTGTCTTAAGTTGTTTCACAGACAGGGTTCACGTGCCGCAGATTACAGACTCCCCGTTACCGGATTATGAACGTATTAACAATATTTCGGAAAAAGATGCAAATCTCCGTCTAATTAACGTTTTGCCATCGACACCTAATATATGGAATAACACGAATGTTTTGGTAACACAATGTTCGTAGGTTATTTATGAAAACTAAGAAAATAAATGAATGACAGCAAACTTCCTTATCAAATGTTGACAAAGAAACTGAAAACTATTCAGCTTACCTACTGCCCACTAGAAACTCCTATGGTGGCGCGCATTTTAATTTTCCAAATCTCTTTAATCAAAAGATTTATTGCAATGTTTTTTTCTTTCTTTGATCAAACTCTTTTTTAAAAATGTCATTAGACCACCCACGCTGGTAAGACGAGCTTTCTTCGCTTCTTTTTCTTTCGGGCTGCTTACACCTAAGTCGCGGCCTGCGGCGAAAGTTGCGTGTTAACAGAGCAACAAGGCATATTCCTGTTTCTAGAAAAACTTCGATGAATGCAATGCCGTATAAATTAATAAACCGCAGAAATGGTTTCGTTGTCATTCTAGGTCAAACCCTTTCCGTTGTCTCTGGGGTTTCAGGTCACTTGTTTTGATAATGGGTAAATAATTGTCGATAAACATTATGTGTCCTTGAGAAAACACGAACTACACCGCGTGTGCAAACCGAATCGCGGACATCGTATGGACAGGAAGGATATTTTTCTGTCTTTTGTCTGCCCGGAATCGTAAATTGCTAAGCTTACAGATTTCGCTGGGATAGTATAACCCCAAAATAAAGGTATCCGCTGCGGTCTGTCTTGCCGGAAGGGGTTGTCATACGGAAGAGGGGTAAGTAGCTATAAAAAACTGTGTCACATTCACGCCAAGCTAACTTGGCCATTGAAGACCGAAGTGACATTTAGGACAACGACCAAATACTCATCGCTAGACGAACAAACATTAAAGAGCAGGTTGGTGAAAAATTTTCAGTTTTTTACGCATTTTGCCTTGATGATTATTTTTAGGGTCAGTTTTTGTTAGCAAAATTCCGGCCTTTGCCAAGCGATGCAAACTTTTTTTCATCTAGTCCTCCACGCAGATCTTCTCTTCGCGACAAAATAGCTTTCGCTAATAGCCTTGCTTTCCACAGGGTTTTTGACCAAGTATTTGACTCCTCATTGTTTGCCATTGATGGGGTCGTTTATAAGGTCTTACAAGAACGAGACAATTCGAGTTAATCGAACTCAATTAACCCCAAGGAAATTGATAACACGAAGCAAAGCGCCGTTGGTCAGTGTACATGGACCTTTGACATTTTCTTTACCGCACGACACAATCTGTAACAGAGAAAATCAGTTTGACAGAAGATTGCCTCTTGAGCGCGCTAAATCAGAACCTTTTCATTGCTGGAAACATTTAAGGGTGCTAACGCGACGGCCAGTTGCTCCGGAGACAGTTTTAAAGTAAGACGTTTTGTACCCATTTTGCAATCTGTGCTATACGTTTCCCGCAATAAACTCGTGATCTGCTAATTTGAAATAATGTTGATTTGCGCGTATCAGTAAAAATGGCAGCGAGACTGACGATATGATCCCACCTCAGCCGGGGGTGAAACAAGACTTTTTCGTTCTTTCAACTGAGTCCTTAAGGTACACTGGGTACCGTTAGGAGATTAAAAGTATAGCCCTATTCTTTTGAGAAAACCTTTTTTTGTGTTTCATTGTTTTATCGTTCCTAATGTTGTTTTATTACAACCACAAAATGCGCGCACGGAAGTTGACACACACGAGAGTAATTTCAAACGCATTCACAGCAAATGATGTCCCCCAGATGGTCGAGGATTTCGGTGAGAACACAAAATAGATCATGTTTGTTTTGGTTGTTTCTTTTTTTCAAATTATGAAATGTAAGAATTCACGATCAAACGTCAGGAAATAACTTGATATCTCTTTATAAGTTCATTGCATAATACTCTCTTTTAGCTGATAAATCTAAGCTCCTTGGTGAGGCCTTAAAAAAGCTAATTAAGTGAATACGCAGTCACCCTGCTCTCAAGCTTAAACCCTATACGTTAACAGAACGAGCTACAGTTTACATAACGCATGTTTTCCAAGTGTCGTTTGCAATGCGCGCTTCCGAAATACACTAAAAACAATAAGCCCTCCTCAAGTCTCAGTGAAATTGCACTTGAAATCAGTGCTTGCCGAAGCGAAAGCGACATGCTGCGTAATGCTCAAGTCACAGTTCTGGTAATTACTTTGGAGAGGTCGATCATCCGACAGCTAGCCGTGTTGCGTGTACAGTTCTTTCACAACTCTGCAAACCTCTTTATCTATAACACAATGACCACCACTTTCCTCCCTATAGAGTGTGCATTCGCGTTGCTTATTTCGAATTAAACCATTCACTTCGTTGATTGCTGAATCACATTCTTTTATTCCATCAATCTCATTTTCCCATTTTTGACCTTATTTTCTGCGTCCTTTCGAACACTTTTTCC